AGAGTCTTTTATTGAATTTGGGAGTATTATTGTGAAATTTCAAATTTCTGGGATTATTTATATCAATTTTTCCTTTCCGATTTGGCTATTTTGTTCATTCGGCCTCCCTACCTACCTACGTTATTTTTCCTTCTTTGTGTACGGGTAAGAAGGATGGTGGCTAAAAGAGATGGGGGCTTCTTATATACATATAAAAAATACAGTATTTAAAAAGAATTGGGCTCCTTAAATTCATGGGCCCGGTCCGAACGGACTGTTTGTCCGCCTATTGGGCCGGCCCTGTGCTGGATGGCCGCAATGCTTCTCTGTTCCTTTTTTTCACTTTCCTTTTCTTTTGGGTTTGCAGTTACATTTTTTAATCGAGAATCTGGAATCATATTTAGTAAATTTGCAACTAATAATGTTTTTACCCTGAATAAACTAACCCCCATTTTCTTGTGTGGATTACAGGACAAGTGTTGTCCTTTCTTGGGCACAACTCATACAAGCCATCCTGAGATGCTAGATCATCAGATTACTTGGATAAGGGAGCTTCCTTCACTGCTTATTGTTTTAGGTGATAAACATCCAGTAACTTCTAAGGTACATACTTAGTATTTGATTTACTGTCATTAGTTTTGGTTGCCTGGCTAATTTCAAAGAGTCACTCTATCATCGCTAATTTCCCACTAGTCTTGGATCCAATCTTTTGCATCACTTTTTAAAGATGACAGAAAACCACCCTTAATGATATGTCTTGCATTGTCCAGACTGTGTTACGTCTTCAACTTCGCTTAGGACAAACTGCTCATCTGGACTCTCCATTTGCAAAGGAATATGATGATATGCAGGACATACTCAGAAGTTTTTATAGCACTGCCACTGATGAAGGTTAATACAGCAGCTAATTCAGATTTCTACCCATGGTGATCTTTATTTATTCTTCATTCAGTATCAGTTGCGTCCAACTAACAGTATTTGTCTGATCATAGGTGTGACATATGGTCCTTTCATGATGCTTTCAAAAGATATTCAAGAACTCTCCCTCTGTTGCCTATATTACTTCTCTTGCCTGGACTCGGCGATACTTCAATCATTAGTTCTATGTTGCCTTTGTAAGTAGCCTTTGTAAGTAGTTTTCTGCAGCCAGGGAAGATTTTTATTTATATGCTTTTTTTGTCATTTCAAACGCGTAGTTAACACACATGGAAGAAAAGATAACCTTGGAATGATGAGCTAAATATTGTTTAACATTGTGGTTTTGGGCGGACATAATGCAGCTCATGAATTGGAACCCTGTTTACGTTTTCGCATTTTGGAAGTTGTCCACACTGCTTATAAAGCTGGACACATCCAGATTGGAGATTACATTAGTTTTTTAATCACATTGGTTTCACGATTCAATGATTATCCTGGTAATCTCTGAAATATATTATCAAAGTTTCGGCATTATATTTGTCTTGTAATGAAATCAATGACCTGGATATTGATTGAACCTAGTAATTGGATCATTTGCAGTGAAAATCGATACTCCAGAAAAGTGTCAGGGAAAATTATTCCACAGAGCTTTTCAACCGATTATTAGTGCAGTTACCTCTTGTTTGTCACGTATTGGTGATAACCATCTTATTTTCCAGATGCTGGAGAGAGTAATTATTGATCAAATTGTAAGTTGATTGACCATCTGATTAGATTCTTTAGTCTTACATAATCTTATTATTTGTAGACTCGCCTGTTTTGGGTGAACTTTTCATATCATCAGAATAAGTGTCTAGTTTGCTTTGTTTTGCTTTGCTTTGTATATCAAGTTTTATTGTATATAAACGTCTTGCAATTTGTTTCAGTGTCTTAGCCCTCCAATAGGTAAAATGAATGCCCTTCTAAGGGTTCTTAGTGCAATCGATACTGTTCCAACAAGACTTTCAGGAGAGAGCATTGACGAAATAAGCCGCGTTCTTCCGAACTATTTATTACTTGTTGCATCTGTAAGTATGTTTGATATATCTACTTCCAATTTTCATCCTTTTTGGCCATACATGACAATGAGCTTCATCATGAAAAAAAGAGCCTGTATCTGGCCTGTTTTGTTCCATAAATGTTATCTAATAACTCCCTCTATCTGGTTTTAGTTTTCCATTTGTTTTTGTTTGTCCAGAATTAGTTGTCCACTTTCTATATTCAATCAAAAAACCCCTTTATCATGAATTGTCCAAAATATCCTAGAAAGAAAGCATGAGGGGTTCTTGACATGAACGAGTGAGAAACTCATTAGAAGGACATTTTTGACATTTAAACTCATTTTTTAAACCCTAGATTTCTTGGAAGGTGGAAAAACTAATTTTTGATGGAGGGAGCATTATTATTTAGTTTTTTAAAGAAAATATATAATACCAAGGCCCGCCATGTAGGATTTTCCGGGAGAAGTTAACGAGCAGCAGAATTCCATGACTACGAGCATATCCAAGAGAAGTCAATACCATCTTCTTCCTTGCTTCATTCTATTTCATAGCTGCAATGGACTGTTAGGTGAAGTTTTAAAAGGGATGAGATCGGTGTTGTTGGAAAACAGTTCCCAGGCTTTGTCCCAACGACAAACCGAATCCGTCCCACCAAAAAACAGTCTTGTGGCAACTGTGGCATACGTTTTTCTGATTTTGATCTCCGATGTTAAAATGAAGAGACTAATCTCATCGTGCACGGAAGAAACAGAGAGCATATTGCAATGTATAGCCACTTGCTTGTCTTCAGAAGGGAGTAATATGGGCCTGGAACAAAGGCACCAGATACAAAGAGCTTATGATAGCTTAAAAGCTGCCACTGCTGTTATTCCAGCTTGAATGGGACAGGTCCTGTTTTTTACATTGTTAACCTACCATTCTGTTCTTTTACACCCTCCTCTGCCCCGCCAAAAAATATATTGTTCGACTTTCACAGAGTTCAAGAAAAGTGATGAATGGTGAAAATTTTGTGGCTAGATTTTGTTTAAAGCAGAGAGAGGTTATGTGAAGTAATTTATCTTTTCGTTTAGACGGATGAATAAGAAAATACTGAAGTGTTTTTTTGTGGGGCGGGAGTAATAGATTGTTTGTGTCGTTATGCTCCATCTCTAGTACTCTCTAGGGTCGGTTCATGTGACATTAGTCTTCAATGTCATAGTATGACCGGGGTACTTACAATGCTTCGTTATCGAAAATTTGATGGTCTTTACCTCCCCCAACTTCCTCTTAAACCTCTCCCCCTACACCCTTAGCCCCTGGTCCCCCTTTCCATTGCCGATTGGCTACAATAGTTATTGTATAACTACTCTAGCCAATTGAGAAAGGCTAGGGGGGGGAGGGGTATAGGAGTTTTGTTGGGGCAGGGACCTTAGGTCACTGGAGCACTGTGTACACTGGGTATTTTTTTTTGTGGACAGTCTGTTTTTATTTTCTGTCATATTGGTGTCATAACTAATATCAGAGGTGGTAGTTAGTACGCCGTTTGTCAACTTGAGTTGCTATCTTCTACAACCATACTTCACTTATGTAATCTCTAGTCAGACTCGTAGTCCACCATTTATAGTCATTATTATTGTGTTGTCCGTTAAGTTGATATCAAAACATGTATTGGATACGGGGTCGATATGAAGTTACACTTTTAGTCTTCAATTTAATACCAATATGATAGAAGGTCAAAAAACAATTGTTCGCAGAAAGATATCTTTATAAGGAAGATGAATGTGATATTCCGTCCGTCCTAAATTAAATTGCTTCTTTATTATTCATGAGGTCAACTTTATTTATTTTTATTAATCATTTGACAAAATAATAGTCATGACATCACTACTTTTATAGATTTGTTGATGTAGTTTTTAAATATATAACTTGTATTTTTTAATTCAATGTCATTTTTTATATAAAATGATATGAAAATAACTTTAGTTAAACATCGTAAATCAAAACAGATAATTTAAAATGGGACAAAGGGAGTTTGATAATAAATGGTCAAATATGGAAAGCTTCATATTATAAAAGATTAAATATAGAAAATAAAAAGTATTTAGTTTTACTAATAATGATGATGGAGATTACTCCACATCACCAGGACCCACGGAAGGCCCCATAATGGGTCCCCACAGGCCATGGACCAAGAAGCTGGCTTTGGTGAGGAGTGCTTGGTGTAGGTTGAGCCCACCTGCTCGTCGCAACCTCGACCGAGCCCATCCGCTCGGCGCAGCACGATTAAACTAGGGAGGCAACAACAAAGAGCATGTGAGGATAACGCTGTACCCGTAAGGTTCCATCAGCTATCGAAACAGAAAGCCAATGAAGTAGTGTTTATTACAGTCTACTACCGTTGTAATCAATAATGTAGTAGTAATATAAATTTACCCATCACTCTTTATTACATTTACGCACTTTGCTTACTCGTCTATATCTGATCTCTCGATCGGTCTACTCGGTAAACGCTACCGAATAATGCTAAAAAGTGAAAGGACCTGTTTGGGAATAGCGTTAGAGATTAGCGTTAGCATTTTGAAAAGGCTATCTACGGCCAGCGTTTAGCGTTAGCGTTTTCAAAGTAATCTGCACCTTAAAATCTTATCCAAAACGCTAATGCTAATCTCTAACGCTATTCCCAAACAGGCCCAAACTCTCCTTCACCAGAGTGGAAACACTTTAAGAGGAAAGATCTTGTGTGGGTGGGGAGGGTTTGGGACTTTGGGGTTTCAATTGTTGCAAAAGTCAACTATGAGAGGAGAGATCTAATTTTAATTTGATCTTCATACGGAGTGTACTATTTTACTTTAGATTGATTGAACTGAGTCAATGATCCGGTCAAGAATCGGCAATTATAGAAACTTTTTCTGTCTCATTTTAAATTGGCTATTTTTTTTGTCCGTTCCAAAATAAGTTGCCTGTGTCTTGTTATCATAAACTTTTAAGAGTAAAATACCTAAACTACCCCTAAAATAAGTCACTCTTCTCCACCTTATCTTCTCATTCATCGTCACCCCTCCTAAAAAGTAATGTCAATTTTGGAAAGTCAACTCTATTTTTTCTCTTCCTTAAATATGCCCCAAAGTCAAAATGGGCGATTTAAAATGGGACAGAGAGAGTAAATTTTTGCCGCTTTTATATAAGAATGTTATTGAAAAATAAAAGGCGTGAAGTTATAATCAGTTTAGAGGAGAGTAATTTTTTTGTAATCATACATTTATTATCAAAATAAGGAATAAAGGATAAGAAATTTTATGGGATGGAGGGAGTATTAGTTAATGTGTAAGTACTATATATGTTCCTTATTAAAAAGAAAGGAAAGAAGTGAAGGTCAGAAATTTCCATTTATTATTAGATGGGGGTAGATTTAGCTAAATGAGATGTGGATTTAGCCTCACCTGTGAAATTACACTTGGTAAATATTGCTTGATTTTTGAAGATGACTTTCATGATCTCCAATACAATACTTTAAACGTTATTATCAATTACCTTTGGCCCAATTTAAATTTTCATTTTTGATTTACGATGTTAGACTAAAATTATTTTTAATTCAACTTAAATAAGAATTGCGGTAGAATAGAAAAATAAATTTTACATAATGAAAAATTACATTAAAAGTTCTACAAAACAATATGACATGAGTATTTTTTTATAAATAACAAAAAGTGAATAAATTTGACATGTAAATGGTAAATCAAACTTTGCTTAAAACCATGACCAGGCCGAGTTGACCTGGATAGGCTCGTTCACTAGCTTTGCCAATTATGATCAGGTTTGGCCATTTTAGGTTTGTATATTGGACCAGACTGGAACCATGACCAGGTCACGATCCAATTGTGTCGAACCAACTAATTTGGTCCGGGTTTTAAAACATTGATCCTGAGTTCATGACAACCAAGAAATTCTAGATTTTGTTATTTGTGTCAAAGGGTGACATGGGTGCTGATGAAAAGTTGACCAAAAATAATTATTATGAATAGGGTTAGGAATCCAGTAGTTAAGAAATTGTCAAACCAAACAATGACAAAAAACTCCTCCATCAACTAACTTCTTTCATCATTTTCCCATAATAATACTACAAAATCTGGACCATTATTGTGTGGATTGAGTACAATGTACACACATTTAAAGCTCTAAAGTTTGGGTGGAGCCTTGTGAGGACTTTTTCATCATTCCAAAATTGTAGGCAAAAAATGAGGGCGAAAATCTTGACCGGTTGGACCGTGAACTGGCCATGGTTCCGGTCCGGTCCAATGTAGTCATACCCGGATTGGCCAAAACCAGGTCAAAACTAGTAGAACCGATGAACCGACCAACACGGGTCACCCGCTTTAAACAAAATTTGATTCAGATTGATTTGTTTCCTAACTTTCCTTGACCAGATCAAAACCCTGAGGCTCATAAGGTGATGAAGGCCTATCTCATGCGCACACAAATATGTTAAAAGCAACTGGTCTCTTCACACACAAAGTAGGAACCAAATGTTTGGTCAAAAGTCAAAATAGGGGCGTTTTGGTCATTTCGGTACAAATCAATGGGTGGTGGGATTAGAGAGATTATTTACAGAGAGCATCAGATTTTCTCAGAAAGAAGCAATAATCTCTTCTTTTTGAAACAGTCAGCATCAAACCAACTCCCTCCCCCCTTTTAAAAAAAGGCCAAGTCCAGAAACAAGTATCTCAGCAATGGAATATACTGACCAAATTTCATCACCACCACCACCACCATCATCCAACTCTGAGCTTTCGTACCCGCCATGGCTGCGAGATCCTCTCCATCGACAAACATTTACCATCTTTTCTCATTGATCGCGGCCATTCTTTAATCAGTACCATGGTGTTTTTCAGATTTTCTATCTGTTTCCACTGCTTACTGTACTCCCCTTGTCCACAGGCACAACCTGTGTTGCAGAGATTCTTCAAATAAGTGCATTTCACATGCCCGTTGGGATGTTCTTGACACAAAATTCCTTGTAAAATTTGAAGAAGATGGTGTTTCCCCATTCCCGACCTTGTCTCTGTGCAACTTAGGGCACATCGATTAATCCTTAACACCGATCCTCCTCCAAGTAGGCCCAAAGCCCTGCAAGACGAGTTGTCGGGATTTGGAGGGAAGATGGAAGAGGGGGTGATTGTTGATGAGGAAGGGCTAGATGTTATTTATTGGAGAATTTTGGAAAATGGAAATGCCACCAGAGAGAGTTTGGAAGCACGAGCTTTCAGCAACGGCAGTGATGATAGACAAGGCCAGGCATCATCCCCTGCCTGGCCCAATGCACAAAACCAGCCGCTGACTTGGCCTCCTCTGCCACCAGAGCTTGTAAAAAAGAAGAGTCTTCCACCACCCCAACCACCGAATCCTGGCGGTTTGGTTGAGTCATTAACAAGTCAAAATCCAGGAAATGGAAAACATGTGAGCTTGGAGCCTTTGCGTTGTGGTAAAGCTGTTGCTAATGCGAATCATTCCATGACCCGGAACAAAACTGATGATGAATCCTTCAGCTTCAAGTGAGTATTTTTTTGCAGTCTTTGTCTTTTGTTCACTAAAGGTGAAATCTTTATAATCCCTTACCATATACTTTGCGATTCAGCTTTGACGGTGATCTTATGGAAGCACTCTTTGGATATGTTGCTACAAACAGAAAATCACCGAAAGGGGAGAGAAAAACAGGCCCAATCCCTCAGATTTTCATTCTTGAAACACAGAAATCGCAGGATATAGCAATTGTTCTCAAGTCCCTTAGGATTACCCGCAGAGAGATTATTGACACGCTGAATGAAGGAGAAGGTCTTAATGCAGAAACTCTGGAGAAGCTCTGCAGAGTGACTCCAACTAGAGAAGAAGAATCAGAAATCCTTGGTTTTGCAGGAGACCCAACAAGACTAGCCAATGCTGAATCCTTCCTCTTCCATATCCTCAAATCCATTCCATCTGCCTTCTCTCGTTTCAATGCAATGCTTTTCAGATCAAACTACACCCCAGAGATAGGCCGACTTAACGAGTCTTTACTGACACTGGAACAGGCTTGCGATGAGCTTAGAGGTCAAAGACTTCTCATGAAACTGGCAGATGCCGTTTTGAAAGCTGGGAACAGAATGAACGAGGGCATTTCAAGAGGAGATGCACAAGCTTTTGGCCTAACAGCTCTCACGAAGCTTTCTGATGTGAAGAGTATTGATGGGAAGACTACATTGCTTCACTTTGTCGTCCATGAGGTGGTGAGAGCAGAGGGAAAACGATGTGTTTCCAACCGTGATCTCAATCTAAGTAAAAATGACAGCCAAACCAGCAGTACTGCATGTTTGCATTATGAAAAAGAGAAGGATTACATCATGCTTGGCTTACCTGTAGTTGGCGGCCTAAGCTCCGAGTTCACCAATGCTAAAAAGGCTGCCATGATAGACTGTGATGCTCTTTCTACAACATGTTCAATACTATCGTCTCAAGCATCTGAAATCAGGAAATTTGTAGCACAATGTAGTGCCGCTGCTGGAGGACGGTTTGCAACAAAAATGAATGTTTTTCTAGATATTGCTGAACGTGAGATAAAGGCAGCAAAGGTAGAACATACAAGAGTCATGGAGCTTGTGAAGAGGACAGCAGATTACTATCAAGCAGGAGCTTCAAACAGTAGATCATGGCAGCCACTTCAGCTATTTGTTATAACCATGGATTTTCTTGGAATGGTTGATCGGGTTTGTGTTGAGATTGCAAGCAACCTGCAGAATAAGAAACCAGAAGGTCCTACTGCTGGATCATCATCATTAACAGAAGAACCACAGAGGAGAGCGGTCAGGTTTCCCAAAATTCCAGCTAATTTCTTGTCACAGCAGTAAAAGAGCAATCCAGCTGGTTTTAGTGATTACACGTAAATAGATAGGCAGATTAGAGAATCGAGTCTAAAAATATTTGTTTTGTTAACCAATATGCAATGAACATTCCATTTATTATATCTTCCCCAATTTGTTTCACAATTCTACAGAGATCTATTCCATTCCCGAAAATGGGCTTGTCTTGTAAGTCACTACTACATTTATACAACATATTTTTGCAACTGAAGATTTCCCATATACTTCACGATCTTCCACCCACTTTCCACATGGAATATGTTTAATGGTTTCATCTTCTTTTGCATAGACTTGTCTATGGAAAAGATTATGCGCTTTTGATGCTAGGGGACAGACGAAAATGACAAACTCTACCCTACTAGACCTGTTTACGCTTAGCAAGACGCTGCTTCTCTTCTTCAACCTGTTCAACTAATGCTTGTAGCTCTGCTTCCGTTAAGCTTTCTAATCGTTTCTGTTAAAGTAGAGAGTAAATAAATTCATTAACTGATAAATTCTTGCATTAAAGTTTTTCCTGAACAATAGAAGACAACATGACGAAGAAACAAATTAATATGGATTATTATTATTATTATTTGAAAGGATCATAGCTCAATGCATGTGCTCTTGTGGCAACTTAATTGTAGAGGATTTATATTCTAATCTTATGTTACAGAGTATTATTTAATACAAACATACCTCCATGACTTTGCTTTCATAGTCTCTTAATTGTTGAGCATAGGTCATTTGCTTGTTTGAAACCCTGAAGATATACGTTGAGATCCATCCAACTGTTAGACCCAAGCCCATGACCAGTTGAACTACATTTCCAGCTTGAAGAGAATCAACACCAAATAACTGCACAAGTTGTAGACTTGTAGTGTAAAAGAGCCTATAATTATCTCAGATACAGTTTTGTATTCAAAGTACGACACACTTTTGTAATGAATCTTGAAGAAACGAATGCATGAAATAGGCGATGGTTAAAAGAAACAAGTAAAAAGTTATCTATAAGTGAAAACAAAATTGTAGTACCTCCAATCCACTTTTTAGGCCAAAGCCAACAACTGCGAGTCCAATTCCAATTAATATAACATCCTTTCTTTTGTATCCAAAAGGTATCTGCACTATGATCATATTGCTGACATATCAACAAACACATTGTGGTAGAGCAAGAAGCTAAATAGCTACAGAATATAGAAGATGTAAGTATATCTAATACAAACAACAACAATCTAGTAAGGCCCACCAAGTGGGCTCTAGGGTGGGTGGTTATAAGCAGATCTTGACCTTGCCTATACATGTAGGATTAGTTGTTTCCGAAAGACCTTTGCTTGTAAGTAAATCTTATGATCTTAATAATCAGCAATAAGATAACAAAAGCTCCACTATGATCAATGAAGATAGACTGCATTTTCTTGCTCCCAAGCAACAACAAACAACAACAACATTACCCTAGTGCCTCAACAGCTCCCGCCCATTGCGGCGTAAGGGTCGGATGTACGCAGTATGACCCCTATGTTTAAAACATAGAGCGGCTGTTTCCAAATGACCAATGATGAACGTCGAAAGTTGCATTGACCAACTGCTACTTCACAGTTACAAGAAGCGCAGACAGTTTAGAGAGCCGAAAAATAGTGAATCTTTGGCTCCACAGGGGATATTTCTTGCTCCCAAGGGTTAAAGAAAAAAAAATCATCTACTACAATTTCCCTACGCACTACAAAAATTTATTAATTCTTAGAATTGAAACAGTACAGAACAGTTTCAAAGTAAATAGGACTAGGGCTGTTCATCGGTCTAAGACCGGACCGAACCGGACCGAACCGGACCGACCCGGACCGGACCGAAGACCGAAATGAGTAAATTCAAGGACCGAAGACCGGACCTAAATCTACTCGGGTTTGGACCGGACCGAACCGAAATATTTAGGACCGAACCGGTCCGGACCGATTGGACCGAAAAAAATACATATTTTTTTAATTATTTTGATCAATTAAATATATTTTAGACTTTTTACTTTGTACCATTCAAATAGAAAATGAATAAAAAAAATATGCAACCTTAAAATGAATACACAATATGAACTATTTCAATGTAGAAACATAAAAACAAATATGAAATGTTTTTTTTAGATTTTTTAAAAAAGTACTTAATAAAAAACCTTTTTAATTAAATAAATTAAAATATCTATTAAAATAGAGCATTAAAGTGTAATACGGAACTTAAAAAGTAGAGTTTTAGTATTTAGGTCTTTTAGGTCCAGTAGGGTCATTAGGTCCAACCGGTCCAATCGGTCCGGACCTAAATCATTTCGGGTTTGGTAAATTTTCTGGACCGAAGACCGACCCGAAATCCATTCGGTCCGGGTTCGGTCTGGACCTAACGGTCCGGTTCGGTCGGTTTTTTCGGTCCGGACCTAAATGTGAACAGCCCTAAATAGGACAATTTGATACACTTCATCATCAGCCAAATTTGGAAACTACACAAGAGTTTATACGAAAAATAAAAAGGAAGAGAGAAAATTTCATGTTCAAGTAATGGCAATAAGAGTTTATGATGTGTGTGTGTGTAAGGGGGGGGGGGGGGAGTAGGCTCCCAGGCACACCACACACATGAAAAGAGATATTTGCTGGTGCCAAACTTGCCTTATCTTGATTAGAGGATTTATCCTTGTTGTCATTTGAGTTTGAACTGCACTGTGGAACTAGTATATTTGATTTCTTTGAGGCCAAGTAGGATCTACTTATACGATCTGTGGAAGTTATAGCTCTAAGATATCTGTGAGTGATGCCATTTCCTGTAAGGTGATAACAGAAAACTGTAAATAATGTTGTCTTGATCAAAGCTATTGCAAGAGTAATATCCAATTTGCCAATCACAGCTTCATTGCCCTGCACTTCTGCAGAGCTTGGTTATCAAATCCAAGAGTGTGACAGACTGTGAAACTAATGACTAAATGAGTAGCAACGCAATCCGTTTGGCATAAGATAATATATTCTAAAGACTTGATATCTTCACCTGAAAAAAACGCAATCCAATCTGAACTACAAAAAACTAGTCGATTTTAGCCTAGTCCAGAAATTTCTAGTGTCTTGTCTAATTTCCTCACCTGAAAATCACTCATTGGTTTAATTAGAATATTCCTAGTCAGGTATGATTAAGACAAGAATTCATAAATAGGAAAAGAAGAATAAGGTGAACCAAACAACACGGAATCACTATTCTTCACTAATGGGATAAATCATTTGATCCTAATTTTAACTAATATGTAATGTTTAATTATAATTTCCACACATCCGGACACTAAAAAACCAAAGTAGACAAACAACTAGGTACTAGATAAGTAAGTTGCAATCAATTTTCAAAACAATACAACTTTCCACCAACAATTTAATATAGTAGGACAACAACAACAAAACCAATACATTCCCAACTCCGTTGGGTTTGGACTTTGGGGATATATCATGATTTACACAAAGTTAAACTTATTCTTGTAAAAAACAGATAAAGAATTTTAACACTATGCTTGGTCCAAGGAATTTGAAATGGAAAAGAAAAGAAAACGAGAGGGAAAATAAATTTACATATTTGGAGAGGAAAAGAAAAGAAAAGTGGAAGGAAAAGAAAATAAGAAGGAAAAATGTACTATAAGTGAAGGGAAAACCAAATTCCTCTCATTTTGACGAGGAAAATGAGAGAAAATCGTTTTCTCTTCCGTTCATTCCAAATTCTTTGAACCAAAGATAGTGCAAAGTGTTTCCGTTATAGGCTTGATGCATTTCTGCATTCACGCCCAAAACTTCACCGAAATCCAGAATCGAGTGAAGTATAATGTGTAGCATTGATTTAGTCCATTATCTACCAAAACAGAAGACAAAAACATAATCCGGAATCACTCCATTTGCAAAGTAAGCAATTAGATACAGTATATCCCGTGATTATGAAAAGGAAACACAACCCATATATGATCAGTAATTCTAAAAAAAAGGAACGAAATTCAAAGCTTATCACGCACACACAGAGATACAAACAGGACTGGGTTAAAAATGAGCTGGGGAAACACAGGGAGACAGAGACCTGGTTTCGTTGTTGTCTCCTTCAGAGGAAAAGCGGGTCGACCCGTCAAGGAAATCACTCTGGTTTTGCTTATTAGGCTTCTGCCATGGGCGCCTGCGGAAGAAGGGAAGGAAGCCATTCCTCCTTGTGTGGCTGGCTGGAAGCCGTTATCCTGAAGACCCAGAAATATCCTTAGGTCCGGACTGTGTAAAAAAAAAATTGAAATTATATACGGAGTACGTAGTTGAAAGAAAGAAAAAATTACAAATGTCATAATTTTCTTTTCAAAAGTGGAGATTAAAACTTTTTTTTAGAATGAATGAGAAAGAATTGAATTCTGTCATTTTCAATTCATTTTTTGCACTATCAATTCCAAATCCACATAATTTTTGTGCTACCAAACATCTGAATTGGAATTGAAGTCTTCAATTCCAATTCCATAATTTGAATTCCATGTACCAAACGGGGCCTAACAGTTTTTTGTTAGGCCACTATTTTTGTATCTTACAAAATATTATACGGAGTAAATGGTATTTCACTTATTTGGTACTAGAAATTTTTATTTTATCATTTGCGGTAAATATTCATATATTTGGATGTAATTTGAGAAATTGGATTAGTGTTATTGTTTTTTAGCACTTGATTGGTGTGTATTGGTTCAAATCTGGATTGAAGCAAATCAAGACCAAATAAGGATGATTTCTCGAGCTAGAAACCAGACCATGTGAGCCGCATTATATATATATATATATATATATATATATATATATATATATATATATATATATATATATATATATATATATATATATATATATATATATATATATATATATATNGACTCAAGGGAGTGTTGCTCTCACCTCTTTCCTGTCTGCTCCAAATGCCTGTCAATATACGGAGGGAATAGTTTTTAAATTCATTCAGTGACCAATGAGAATTGCAATCGTTTGAGCTTTAATCAAAATGTATCTTAAGTTTTTAAAAGTAACGTGCATTCGCCATGTGTAAAATATATTCGGATATTTGTGCATGTCATTAAAGTGACGTATAAGGACGCGAAAGAGGTGTTATCATGACAATTCAAACACGAGTGCTGACCTTGGTGCTGTTGTGAGCAAATTATAAAATTTGAAAACAATACTCTATGAGTAGGGTTGAGAAGTTAGTGCTAATCGTAACGTCTAAAAGGCCTTGTTTGACTGGGGAGGACTATAGCACAAGGAGGGAAGGGGGGGGGGGAGTTCAAGCTCATCATATTTCATTCCCCCATTTCGGTGTATTTTTATATTTTTTTTCTTAATTTCCTTTTCACCTTCTTAACACTTTCATTTCCCCTACATTCCCTCCCCTTCCCCCGAGTTCTCCTCCTCGTCCTGTTTTGAACCAAACAAGGGCCAGGGGCTAAACATCAATGCATACCTCAGTTCCGAAACCTTTCACATATACATTCGTAAAGAGTTCAGAAGCATCTGGCATGGGGCTCTCCTGCAAAGATAAAATGAACAATTAGCATTGCTATGCAAAACTAGATTGTGTGGAACAAAAATATAGAAAGGTAATTTCAGAATGTGCTTCACCTTAGCCTTTGTTATGGCTTCATCTACCTCTTTCCTCACTTCTTTCTCAATATCCTGATGGAGAATAGCAGAAGACGTAAGTAGCACATCATTATCATAAATAAAGTAATCAGGGATCACAATCAAGTAGTTGAAAAATGTAATCAAACATGTTTGCAAAAATATCATCCAAGGGGTTCATGTTTAATTAGTTACAATCATTACCTTCAGCTCTTTTTCAGTTGCTAAATCATGAGATAATATTAACTTTCTGACTCTTTCGACCGGATCACGTTCCTGAAAAGTAGAAACATCTCAAGGTAAATAGGACTATGACCAAAGCGGCATTATTTCAAGCACGCCATAAGATTTTGTTTACCTGTCTAACTCCACTGATCTCATCCCTTGTGCGATAGGTGCTTCCAGGATCAGACATGGAGTGCCCATGATACCTATAGGTGTCCATTTCAAGAATCTGACCAAAATCAAACAATGGATGTGCATCAAAATGTGCAAATACCAAAAGCAATGTAAAAAGGCAACACATTATCACCAAACTTGCCAGCGACTATAGTTTAAAGAACAGTCTAAAGCATCTTTACTACACAGTACACTTATAATAATTCCATTCCATGCTGTTATATGGAGTATTATGCATATGATCTCTCTCTACGAGCTGTCTACCTCATAGAGATCTTAACCACATTATTAAAAAAATATGGAGTTCAGTATTCATATTCACAACAACTAAATTCAGGATTTGTATGAATCCAGAATATATCGTATAGCTAGCCAGTATGGCACTCAACACTCCATCAGAAGTGCTTTTTTCCCACTATTAAGAGCTTCTTGGGCCCATATTGCTGATCCATGGAATAAACGCTTTAGTAGAATAATTTATTTAAAAAGAAGGATCAACTTGGAACTTTGTGAGAAAGAAGACTTTTCTTTATTCTGCGTATTTTTTATCTGCCCATAAAAGCATTTTTATGTTTTAGGTGTTTTTTTGTTCAACTTATTCATCTTGCTAATTAACATATTTTTATTTTAATCCAGAAACATTTAGAGCACACCCGATCAGACCCGAGATGCCATGAAAATCAGACAAGAATCAAAATATTGTAAACAATTGAGATCTGAGCAGAAACATAAACATTCAGGCATCAAGAAAGTTAGACTAGATTGGAAACATAGACATTCAAACATTGAGATCTGAACGGAAACCAAATGAAACGAAACAACTGAAACATAAACTTTCAGACCAACCACCAGCCAGACCACATCTTAAAAAATCAAAAACAAATTGGACCTTTTTAGGCGAAGCAAACAAGGGCATTAGATTGTGACCTGCCATGAACTAATTTCAGGAACAGCAAACAAGAATACTGTAAAACAAGAACCAAATTTTATGATACACAATACTCAAAAGTACTGTCAATTTCTATCAAGTGTAATGCAATATAAAATACTGGGCTAAATAAGCATTCACATTTATGTTCCCATCCCATACACAAACACACTATCCATTACTATTCTTTGTAATGCAATAGCGCAATTTAGCCTAATTTACAAAAAGGGTATGCTGTAAACAAAGGATGCGCTGTTGAATCCTCCAAACTGAACTGGTCTAGAAAACCAGATGAGACTGACATTTAAAACCTTGAAACTGACAAACTACAAAACTGTCATCCCCACAGAAAAACACTAGTAAAACCAATTAGATTCTTCTTTCCAGTATCAACATATCCATTTGTTTTGCTACCGTACATGTAAAGTGTAGCAGAATCAGCATTATTCTCTGCACCTTATTTCCAACTAAGTTGGGTAGGTAAATAACAATTTAGTGTCAATGAAATGTTGTTGATTCAGGAACAAAAAACCAATTATATACGGAGTATTTATAATTTTAAAGATATGCACATGAATCTTCAATCTTCTAATTCCTTATAGAAGAAAACAAGACCCCTCCATACACTCCCATTTCCAGTTCTTCTCCTAAATAAAAACTTCAAACCTGACACTCACATTCCTGCTTGGACAAGAGTAGTGATGATAAACTATATATAATGATGAAAGAAAGTCAACTGATCAAACCAGTAATTTAACTCTACCAATGAAAGGAATAAAAAGTGCATTTTTTCTTCCGTAAAATATAAACATGGTTTGAACTGCAATACCAAACAGGCAAACAAATAATGAAGCAAAACCCTATCACGTTGAAGGCAATAACAACCTTTTCCACATCAGTTTACCAGTTACTCATTAACAGCATGTCACTATCAAAGAAGATTATCATAAAAATAGTTATAATATCTACAAGATGTTTCTCCTTTAGACACTTTGGAGTTTGGACACAATACTTTAACATATAATGAATAAAACGGCTTCATGAAGAGGTACAATATGTACTCACTATTGGTCCATTCTTTAGAGCATGATCCTTTGCAAATTTGCATGCCTGTTTTACAGCAAGGACATCCATACCATCCACCTATTACACAAAGAAAATATTTGGTAAGCCATAAACATAACCATTGATGACAGTAATGTAATTGAGATATAGACAGAGACCTCTACAACTTCTCCATTACCCTTAAATGAGTTGGAAAAGAATGAAGCATGGGGTTTAGCAATACTCTAATAATTTAACAAAAGCTACATCCCACAAGGAAATACATGTCACAGGGAAATATATGTACCTGATACTTCATAATCACACAGACTCACACTCTAAAAAAATGTTAATATAATGTATGCATTTCCTTCAGAACATTGTTTTATTGAAAGAAAAAGCATATATTTGTTGGGACACTTGCTCATATATGCGGAATATAAACTAAGATATAGTGTGGTTGACCTTTCACATTCATTAGAAATCAACAGAAACATCTGTTTGGTATATGAGCAATGATCACACGTTTTATTTTAAAATCGTGAATTCAATCACAAAATGTCTGTGAATAAAAAAATGCAAAGCTTTCACACTTTGAAACACAAAAGTGGATTTAAATATGAGAAATTTACTTAAATAGAACTAAAACATAATGACTTTCCCCAAATAGCACCACATGTGTTTTTCTTCCCAATGTAGCACTTTTAGTCATTATGCATTAGTCATTATTCAAGCAAATATTTGCCATCACAGGACATTATTAAGTGCTATTTAGGGAATAAAACAATTTAAGTGCTATTTAGAGAAATGACTTAAGTTTTAGTGCTATTTAGAGCAAATATTTCTTTAAATATTTCCTGATTGCAGAAATCAGTCTTTTTTGGGTCCAGAACTCAATGCTACATATTCCCACAATGCACAATACATAATAACTTCTTCATGATCAGACACAGATTTAAAAGATATCAAACAGCTCTCAAAAACTAGAGGAAAAGGCACATGCTTTATTTATAAATACCTTTAAACCAGGAACATAATCTCCTCTCTTATAATAGGCAGGACTTTTGGCTGCCCTCCATTCTGCAGTCCCCATTCCATCTGCATAACGGAGCCATCAAACACTTGGCAAGTTACACCATACAAATAACCTACTCATGACTAACCCCATAGCAATATTGTTAAAATTTCGTCCTAAACTCCTACGTACAGACTACATTCATGCATTTAGTTTTATTATAATGTAGTAGTACTGAAGCAGTAAGATATTTTTATAAGTGATGTAGAAAGAATACATGAGGGCCAGCATAATTTACTATCAAAGATCAGTCATCTCTTACAGTGATTATTCTCGCAAACCAGAATAGCAGGCAAATCCCAAAGCGCGGCCATGTTCAAAGCTTCAAACAGTTGACCCTGGTTGGCAGCACCATCTCCATACAAGGAGAATGAGACATAATCCTCTTTTGAGTACTTCTGAGCAAACGCCAATCCAATACCTAGCGGAACCTGAGCCCCTACTATCCCATGGCCTCCGTAAAATCCACTATCCTTCTTGTAAAAGTGCATCGAGCCTCCTTTCCCCTTAGAACACCCGTTCTTTCGTCCCATAAGCTCAGAAAACGCCCCCAGTAGCGTCCCCCCGCGGGCAAGGTAGATGCAGTGGTCTCGGTATGCCGTGATGATGCAGTCCTTTCTAGTAATCGCGGACTCCATGCCAACAGCAACCGCTTCCTGGCCGTCGTACAGGTGACAGAAGCCCCGAATGAGCTTGGCCTTGTAGAGCGAGTCGGAGGCGATCTCCATCCGGCGCATCAGCGCCATATCTCTGAAGAAGCCCATGAGCTCCTTATCCGTCGTCTCGACGGTGCGCGGAGGAGGATCGACGTTGTGGGCGCTGAAGGGGAGATTAGTCTCGACGGTGATGGCGGCAGCGGAATCGGTGGAGAGGTGGCGGATGGAGGAGACCGCCACCGAAAACGGATTCAGGAGAGAAGCGATTCGCCGTGTCGATAAAGCCATTTCCGACGGTAGGATTTGACGGCCGGCGAATTTCCAGATCCGGGGGTGTCTAAGTTCGGGAATCGAGAATTGAGGAAAAGTTGGAGCCGTCAGACTGGAACTGTGTTACGGAGCAATTCCTGTTAGGGAGTAAATTCCCCACCCAACAATTGCATGTTGTACATGCTGTTTTTTTTTTCATTTTTTTTTCAGAAATTTCGCATGTCATACATGCTAAAACATCGACATCAAGTTCCTTTTCCAGATGGTACCACGCAAGTGCAAGCTTTTGACAGTTTTTTTTTTAAAATTATTTCGCATGTACTACATGCAAAACAAAATGTCACTTTTTTATTAAATAATATCTCCCCAAATGCATATATGGTTCCTTAAAGATTATATAAATAATATTATATATTTTTATATATATAATTTCTTTACATATCATTAAATATGTATTATTGAAATTTTTGAATATCAACATCAATAATAAATTTAAGAAGAAAATATGATTAAACATTAATTATAATGAACCATTTTTAAGAAAGTACACAACATAAAAAACACATAGAAAAAAAGTACAATTATTTGAACACATAATAAAAANGAATGATACACGCCATCAACATGCACACAAGGAATTCCATCTGCAATCCATTGTCCACACGTGCAAATGTTATTAGCCAAATCCACCATATAATTGTACGTAGCACCTGGATCAGAACGAGAAGTATGGCTAACTATATACTGATAGTTACCATAATTTGTAGCTACCCACTTGTGCTTTGTCTTCTCGCGGTGTCGAAGAATTGTTGTGATTTTAGGAGTTGTGTGGATGTTCTTCTGCATCCACTGAACAGCAATCTTGTGCCTTTTTTAAAATGATTCAACCATTTTATTGTAGGACATCTTTAGTATCACCGTAACTGGCATCATCCGACAACCTTTCAGCATATTATTAAAACTTTCCGAACTATTGGTTGTAAGGATTCCACATCTATTTCCACCATCATAACAGAGAGTCCATGCCTCGCGCGGAATATCGTTCAAGTACTTATATGCAGCTTCATTTGCGTGCCTGATTTCTGCCATGTACTCATTAAACTGTTCGATGTTGGGTGTGCTCCCAGCGGCCCAAACTTTACGTTTAAGGTCACTGTCATGAAATTTATTCATGAAATTATTGCGGACATGCCTTAGACAATAACGCTTGGTTATGAACCCAGTTTGTAGCTCAAGAAGATCAAGATATGCATTGATAATGCCAGCATGCCTATCAGAAATTACACAAACCCGATGTGAACGAATAACTCTTTGAACAAGAAGACGAAAAAACCATGCCCAACTGTCAGATGTTTCCCCGTCAACTACAGCATATGCAAGTGGGAAAAGTTCTCGATTTCCATTGAGTGCCACCGCCAAAAGTAGGTGACCCTTGTACTTTCCGTACAAATGGGTCCCGTCCACCGTCACCACAGGAAAGCAATACTGTAAACCATTAATAGCTGCTGGAAATGCCCAAAATGCATACTTAAAATGCGGTACTTCGTCCGGGATAACATTGAGGTTGGGAGGGGGTGAAGAGTAAACAACCTCAACAATTGTTCCTGGGTATGCATTTTGAAGGTTATATAAGATAACTGAGAGGTGCGTGTAAGAGTCCTCCCAACTGCCGTGTAACATCTCTGAAGCATGGATTCGACCCATCATACATTTTTTATAAGAAAATGCAACGTTGAATTCTTGAAGTAATTTGTGTTGAATGAGTTTCACTTTGTACTCCGGGTCAACCCGTACTTTGTCAAGGATAAATCGACCAATAAACATGTAATCCATATTGTAGTCGTTACCTTCGTGGGAATAATCCGGATGACAACTGTGAACATCATTGAATTGCTTCAAGCGCCACGCTCCAGAGGATAGTTGTTGAGATTGAGCACGCCAAAAACAACATGGTTGTTTGGCATGGTACCAACATCGACAAGCCCATGAAGCTCTTTTCTTGTACTCCGTTATCCAAAATCGATGTTGCGCAATCGAGTGTTTGGTGATTGCATCTTGTAAAGCATGTAAATTAGCAAACACCATACCTTCTTCCAAAGGAGCCCCAGGTTTGTATGATCGTTGTCCTTGAGTGGCAAGCTCCTCCATGAGTTTAACCCAGACATCCTCGGTGTCTTCATTGTCAGACGGAACATACTCCGAATCGCTATCTGTGTCTGGATTGTCAATGTTCTCCTCTAAATGGACCACTCGGGCCAATCTACTGCGTCGTGTGGATGTACCCACATTTTCTCTATCCGTGGAAATGTGTTGCGTAGAAGGGCCGACAACATTACTTTCCGTAGTATCTGTAATGTAGACTTCAAGTAATCCCAAGGGAATTGCTTTGTTCAAGAACAATTCCCATGTTGCATTACTATCGATGCCCATTACCCTACTAGAGTATACACCCCCAAAAAAATATGGAATTTTCCCGGAAACTTTAGCAATGGAGCCATATCCAGCATTACTAAAATGAGTTTGTATTTCGTCTTTAACAATATCCCATGGAAAACTTGAATTGACAACAAGTGTTTTTTGGTAGTCTCTTGTGTAGAGTATATGACCATCACTCTCTATGATCTCACCCCCCCAAAAAATATTAAGAATTTGATTATCGGAAGAGGACATGATGAACACTACAAAGAAAAACGATTTGAAATTCTGTGATGAATGTCTAAAAAATAGCAAGATTTATGGGCAGGGAAGAGCCTTAATTTCGCATGTAGTACATGCAAATTGGGCTGACATGCTGACTGACTAAATTCGCATGTATAACACGCAATTTTGACTGACTCGCTGACTGACATCACTTTACTCATTTCGCATGTACTACATGCAAAATAAATATAATTTGTTTTTATAATTGTACATAATTTAATAATTCCACCACGATGAACTAGGAACATCATTAGGCATGTTAGAAGATGACCCAAACAATTGAGCTTGTGTGTCAAGGCCAGGTTGTGTATATGCTTGTGCTCCATTGCCACCTCCTTCTCCGCCATCATCATCATCATCGTCTTCATCTGTAGGTGCAAAGCGGCCAGATGAGTCTGGAAACAAAAGACCAGCCAAATACCCATAGATGACCCGAGCTGTGTATTGCTCCACCTCCCGATTTGTCTATCCAGCATTTGGTTGAACTTGCTGTTCAGGATTTCGTGGAAACAATTCTTTGATCTTAAATTGGTCAGGACGGCCCAGATGTTCATCAAGAGGTGTCCGTTCAGAGCATGCAAAAAATCATGGTCTCTCTCTTCTACGGTGCGTCTCAACCCAAGAAATGCAAATCCGTTAACGGGGAGACCCAATAGACACTCTACATCCTGTAAAGTGATACCCATCTCTCCAAAAGGGAAATGAAAAGCATGCACCTCCGGTCTCCACCGCTCAATGAGAGCAGTGATTAAACCATGATCAAATCTAATTGGGTGCACACGGTGTACCCCATAAAATCCAGCCCTCCGTAAATTTTGGAGAACCCTGGGGTCATGAAAAACAGTAGGGATACGACTATGATATCTAACTGAAACTAGTTTATTGTCGCAAAAATCCTTAAGTTTCCACACCCGACTAGAACGATGAGTACTCTAAATGTAACATGTCATCTATTCTAGGGCCCGCTATCTCTCTCTCCATCTCTCTTTCTCTTTCCATGTCATCCATTTTTGCACTACAAAAATTAAATAATAAAAAGATATTTTTTTATTCTTAATATTAGTGCATACAAAACATATCTATTTCGAAAATATATATATATTCATGTAAACACTATCTAAAAAAATATATTCATTAAAACACATAATTTAGAACAAAAAATTTTCCTACGTTTTTATAAAAAATTCAAAATATTATGGAGCACATAGTTGATAATATATAAACATAATCTATAATGAAATAAAAATGAAAACTAATAAAAACTTAACATTTATAATCAATATTATTAATATTTTAAAGTTAACTGAAATATAAGTAATAAAAAAAATACCTGAGAAATGTTGAATGTAATGGAGTAGTGTGAGGATAAATTAAATTTGAAGAGTGATTAAAGTAGTGGGTGAAGGAGTAGTTTAAATAAAGAAAAATGTGAGTGAATTAAGAAGATAAAGGGGTGAGTGAAGTTAAATGCTTGGGATGAGAGTGGTTGTAATGTGTGGTGGAGTGGAAAAGGTGGGGTGGAAAAGTAGTGGAAAAGGGGGGTTTAATGAAGGGTGCCGTGGTGGAGTGAAAAAGGTGGGAGTGGACTGTTTCTGCATGTAGCACATGCAAACTGAAAAAAAAGGTTTCTCGCATGTAGTACATGCGGTTTCACCCGGGCCAACTTTACTGACAAATCGTCAGTTCTGATTTTTTTTTTTAATTTTTTTGGGTTTCGCATGTAATATGTGCGATTGTCCTTCTGGGGAATTTAATGTTCCACTTTAGGAAATATATTTTCCTTTTTTTCCGTATTAGGGAAACCACCCCTGTGTTACACTATACTCCGTAGCAGAGTACACTTTTCAAATTATTAATTGACCACAATCACCCAATCATACTTTGAAAGTTTGAAGTCTTTTAATTTTAAAGTTTCTTTCTTTTTCTTTCAATTTTTTCTAATTTTTTTTAGTTTTTCTTAGTTTTTTTCAATTATTTTAATTTTTTTAAAATTCTTTCTACTCCTCAAACAATTAATTCATATTTTTAATTTGATTATTATATTATCATATTTATTTTTATCTTCATTATTATTATTATAACAATTATTATGTTTATAACTATAGTTTATTTTTTTTGTTTTTTTGGTTTTTCATATCACCATTTTTACGATTCATACCCATTATTTTTTTTCAATTTTTTAATATAAACAATACAATTTTTTTTGTTTATTAATCAAATGATAAAATAGGAAAACATCATATTATAAACTATATCAAAAAATTACGAGTTCAATATTTTTAATTGAAGCTCACAAATAATAAGTTTGAGAGATTTGTGACCATTTTATTTGTGAACCTAACATTTCTCAAAGCTATTAATGGGTAAAAAGTATAATATTTTTTAATATTTACGTGCTAAAAGGTAAGACTACGTATATTAAAGGGAAAAAATTTATAAACGGAAAAAATAAAAGAAATCACTCTGGATAAGAGTAAAAAAGCATTAAAATATCAAAATACGAATCATAAGTCTTTCTTAAAAAATAATGCATTTTTTTATTATATAAGACATGCCCTTTTTGTGCATCGACGCACACGTGGAGTTTCAAAATTGGATGTTGGAAAAAATTAGAAGAAATTGGAAGAAACTGGAAGAAGTTAAAAAAAATTGGAAGGAGTTGAAAAATGTTGGAAAAATTTAAGTGTTTAAAAATTACTCAATTAAATGATCATCCAAATAAATATGTAAGAAAACAATAATTTTGGATAAAAAAGAATTCATCATTGTCCGTGTTTGAGGTAATATGTTATAGATTTGGATATATAATGTTATTTTATATTAATCGTATATAAATACGTTTTTAAGTTGTTGTAAGAAACTGGAAAGAGTTGGAATGAAAGAACTTAATCAAGTTGGAAGAAAATGGAAGAAGTTAAAAGTTAATTTTTCCAATCTTAAAGAACAAGATCTTAGTGGTTCATAATTAGGATAATGTATTCTTTTAACATATTCTTTTAAGTAGTACTTAGTCACAAATATGAATTTGAAATTTTTTAAAAAAAAGAGTATTATTTTGAAAATAAATAAGTTGGAAATATGAATTTTAAATTTCACTCATTAAAGCTGATTTTAAAATTTTAAACTATTATTTTGATTATTTTATAAGTTGATTTTATAAATTTTTGTTAGTACAAATATGAATTTTATTTTCTTAGTCAATTGCATAAAATTTCATTAACGTCCTAAATTCTTCCATCATACTCCATCCGTTCAGATTTAATCTTCTCATTTGACTTTTCTGGATCAAATTTTGTATACTTTAGCTTTGATATTTAGAAAAATGCATTGTGGTTCGATAGGAATGTACTTCGTATTACCGATAATTTCTTTTTGAAACTAAGGGATCTCTTCGTATTTGGTAGCTTCTATTTTAGGGATAAAAATTTTAGAACTCCTATTTTGGTATTTTCTTCATGTTTTACTCATAATTTGGTATTTTTTGCCAAAAAATAGAGTGGCATATATTTTGAATACAACTTAAGTTGAATCTGCGTATATTTTGATTAAAATTGCCACATCATTCAACTAATTAATAGATGACAAATGGTTTATTAAAATATTGCCATGTAGATTTATATTTTTGTATAAATCAGTTTCTAACTATTCGATCAATGTGAATTTTATCATTGTAAAACTTTATTACGTGTGTGGTTTTAAAAACCATTTATTTGATTTTTTTTATTTTTTTTTCATTTTATTACTTTTAAAAAACAAGTATTTAGTACTTAAGGTTTAATCCTCTACTCCGTATGTTTTCAACATGAGCAATGCCAGGGTTCCATAAAACACCCCCTCCTTGTCCACATACCACTCCCTTCGTCCATCATGGCTCACCACGGCCATCCACACTGAAGGGTCTCATATTGGAAATTATGGTAATTGGGTTGACGTCTTGGTTTGGGTGGTAGTTTCTCACTTTTTGTTATATGCTTTCCATCAGTGTTTTAAAGACCGGACCGGCCGGTCCAACCGGTCGAACCGCGAACCGGCAACAAATCCGGTCCGGTTCACTGAAGAAACCCGGCTCCCTTTTGACCCGCCCAAACCCGTCGGACCCGGTGAACCGGGTGACCCGAGTCGACCCATCCGGTTCCCGGGTTTGGGCTTAAATCTACATTTTATTAAATTTTTAGACATAAAAATTGAAAGTAGTGGCTGGGAATCAACCCCAGCACCTCCCGTATACTAGTACAAGTTGTCATCCAAGTGAGCTACTCAATATTTGTTCAAAATCTAGGTATCAATCATATGTATTTATGGTTTTACAAAAGGTTCATACAAAATTAATACTAGTATGTAGTTTTTTGTGCAAGTGTGAATTATTTGTATTTATGAACTTTTAAAATAGTTTTAAAAATTTAGAATAATTTAATTTTTATTTGAAAATAAATATACTCTGTATATTTTATATTTAAAAAATTGTTGTCTTCAAAAATTAAGTAATATTATTAATTACGGAGTATAATTTAATAAGCTATATTTTTTATTTTCAATCATTTTAATCAACTAAATATTAACTTTAAAATGTCATATGTATATAAGAATAAAATATATAGTCTTTAATTTTAGAAAATATGAGTATCGCCTTATTATGTAAGTATTTGTTAGAGATTCAGTATTAACTTTTCATAATAATAAAAATAATAAAATAAAAATCGAAGGTGTGAAATATCATATGTATAAGGATATTAAAAAAGAGATGGAGAAATAATAACATAAATTAAAATATTTTATTAACTAAAAATATCTAATATATCATAAAATATTATTATAAACATAGTTGACCGGGTCGTTGACCCCCGGTTCAACCGGTTCGACCGGTCAACCCTTGACCCACTACCTCGTTCGAGTCGACGTCCGGTCCGATTTTCAAAACATTGCTTTCCATTTGCTATGCCTTTCTCTCATTAATATAAATTGTCATGACCTTTTATACTTGTGTCTCTCTATTGAATGTGTCTTTCTTTATCTTTTATGAGTTCGAGATATACGTGTTACTTGAACCGAAAATCTCTTGAAAATAGTCTCTTTACTTTCGAGTAGGCGTAAAGTATATGCACACACAGCCTCCCCAGATTCTGGGGATTCGACTAGGTTGTTTAAATTTTTAAACATAGTGAATGGCCATTCAATATAGCAACATCATTAATATGAAGTACTCCGTATTACGTTAGGCCAAATAGCTCCGGTGCCCCCTGTGGTTTGGAAAATTGGCACCAAAACCCCTCTCTGTTTTCAAAACTTATTTCTAAAGTCCCCGGGGTTTCAAATCGTTGCACCCACACCCCCTCTAATCATTTTCCGGCCATTTTTCGGCGAAAAGGGGGCATTGGCGAATAATTTCTAAACCATAGGGGGCATTCATGCTTATTTCTTATTTTAGTTTATTATTTGTGTTTTCCCTTTTTTTTAAATATTTTGTCTCTTTTTCCTTTTCCTAATTTTTAAAAAAAATATATTTTCAATTTTTATAATGTTTTAAAAATTTTAAAATTCTTTGTGTTTGAAACAAAAATAAGAATAAAAAATTAACATACATTACATCTATCTCAAATTAAAAAATTTCACTTTTTTTAGAATATTTTTTGGAAAGTTCGAAAAAACCCAGAGTAAAAAAAATAAAAATACGGAAAAACAAAATGAAAAAAGTTAAAATACGCAAAAAAATGTCTTATACAAAAAAATTTGGACACGCCTAAAAAAGTCCTTAGAATTGAGATGTCTAAAAAAGATATTCATTTTAATTTTTGCATTATTTTTTTCTTATTTTATTCCTCATTTTTTCAAAGTTCTCAAAAAAAATTCTTTTTTTCAAAAAAAAATTTGTTGTTATGTTTTAATGTTGTGACCATAATATTCATCATTGTTTTAATAGTGTACTCCGTGTAATGTATATTTGTTCTACACTGATCACTTAAATAATAACAATAATTTTCTGATAAATGTCTGTTTTTGAACTTTAAAAGTAATTTGATAAATTTATTTATTTATAGCAAAAATAAATTCTAGAATACTTCATTAAAATCTTTTGAATATTTCTATTATGAAATTCACAACTGAAATTCATAAGTTAATCTTTTAATAAAGTATTGAATAATTAAAACATCAATTTATGTACAAAACTTTTGTTCTCACAGACACCCATTAGAACATTTTTTTCTTATTATTATTATCTACTATGCTGAATTGTATACACCAATTTTTGTGAACAAAAGGCATATCCTTCTACATAAGTTAAATCAAATATTGTGCTTCTTTTTTTTACTTATTTTTTAGGGAATTTATCTAATTCGTACTAAAACATGGTAAATTTCTTAATGTAATATCATATATTTTTATTTTCTAATGTAGTATTACTGTTCAGTGTCTACTAGACATTATTCAAGTAAGACAAACTCTATGGTACCATAGACTTACATATGAACAAAATAATCATTATTTACTACAATAAGCATATGTTTTTTTAATAAAAACTTAAAGAAAGTCAATGTGAGAAAGTCTACAAAAATGATATGCACCCAACGTGCACAATAAAAACACTCTTCAAGTAAATGTCCACCGTCACTGGATATTGTTCTAAATAAATATCTACCACCACTGGACATTATTTTCACTACTAAACATTATTCAGGTACCATTTAGAGAATAAAAAATTTTAGGTAATATATTGGGGAAAAAAGTGTTTTAGTACTATTTAGTTTAAAAATCACTATTTTTTAGAACTCAAGTTCCGGTTTTGCCCAATAATCCTAGGACCTCGTACACATTTTTCTAGCTGCCCTCCGTCCCAATTTAAATCGCATGTTTGCCTTTTTTCTCCGTCCCAAAATAAGTTGTCTGTTAGTTGTTTTCGTAAATTTTTAAAAATAAAATACCTAAACTACCCCTAAAATAAGTCACTCTTCTTCACCTTATCTTTTCATTCATCATCACTCCTCCTAAAAAGTAATGTCAATTTCAAAAAATCAACTTTATTTTTTATTTTTTTTTAAATATGCCCAAAAGTCAAAACAGACGATTTAAATTGGGACGGAAGAGTGTATTTAATACGACGACATATCACGCGCAGCAAATCCGTGTATATTTGGGGGAAATAGTAATTGTACATTTGTACCTCATATTAAAAGATATTTGCACCTATCACTATAGTATATTAGATTAATAGCAATGAATAATGAAACTACACATTAAAAAATGAGTATGTGATATGGAGTTGTAGATTAAGTATGCAAAATAAATACTATTAATGAAACATATAAGATTCAGGGAAGAAATTACTAATATACCCCTTTGAGGCACCGAGCTTCGATGTGCCTCCTCCAAACTCCCACAAATGGACCGGATCCTGCGGTTATGGCCTAAAAAGCAAACTCCGGAAGCGTTGCACTCTATAAGAAGCATTCAAAGAATTGGTGTGGCCGTGGGACGATAGACTTTGGGGCAGAATTCTCCTCCGTTTGCTTACCCGACGCATGAAGTCTTCCGTGTTCAAAACATATGAGACCTTGGGGATTTATTTTCATCAAGCCAAAGTTAGTGAGAAAAAATGGATATCTAGTTTTGCATCATTCACAATGTACAGAGAAGAACTTCATGCTCAACTTACCTTCAATGACTTGCAAGCAATCTTGCACTCTAGACTATTCTTTATTTGAAGTCCCTCCATTGCCTTGTGTGTCGCGTAAGTTTCGTTCATCGATGCATATTTTCTCTTATTTCTGAATGCAATCAAGTGGTAATTGGGTAAAAGACTTGTTGTGTCAAGCAAAGTAACATTTCAACATCTTATCCAATTCTTTTTTTTAATTTGATCATAAGCTCCAATTTTGCGTCCATTGAGAATGGATGCAAATGCTTCCTTTGCGTCTTAATGCCTTGGGTACTTAAATAAAGCAAATTCATCAAGGGGTCTAACGGAAACAGCTCTTTTGTTTTTTTACATGGATAAAACATACATCTTGACCACCCAAACTCTAAAGGAGTTGGGACTAAAGTGGGTTTTGTTTTTGCATCCTTGACATCGATTTGTTGACATTAATTTTTTTTACCCAGATGATCGGGGGTCATGAATCATGATCTAGTAAATTTTGAAATAAAGGATGCCGATTTTTCAAATTAAATGCATAGGATCAGATGAAATACAACGATAGCCAAAAAGATTAAAGTTGGAATTTACTGGAGGAAGTAAAACCTTGAAATTAAATACCTCTTCAAGAACACTCCTCGAATTTGCTTTTGCTCAGTAGCACATGCGAGTAGGTCATTACTCAAATAAGCGGCAAGGATTGGGTCCACTACAACACCAGCTGCTTCTGGCTTATCCAACCCATAGTCCATGAGCTGAATGGACAACTGTGTTGGTGCAGATGACTACAGTGCAATATTAGGGTGTCAAATATGGGTGATAAAATCTCATTATATGATTATTTAGGTAATGTATGAAGATGCAGAGAGGAAGAGCAACAGAAACTTACACATTGTATTCTATATATGTTCTCATCATGAATGAAAACACGAACATTTTCATGATAAACCACGTCAAATAACAACCCAGACTTTCTTGACTGTTCATACATGTATAACTGGAGAAGTTTGTTTTCCATCTCATCTGTTGCAATCGTTTGGAGCTACATATATAATGCAAGAATAGAAGTTGAATAAGTTAGGGAATGGAAAGCTTTAAAAACAAAACAAAGAAATGATGAGGTCAGGTACTTACCAGCTTGACTAATTTATATATCAGCTTATCTAAGGTGAAGAGAAGATAGGATTGGGCTCCAATGATAGCTCGGCAATCGTCCTCAAACTTTGCATTGTCCGACGAACCATCAAGCAGATTACGGAGTGCGGCCATAAATCTGCAAGGCAAGATGAACATAGAAAGGATTCAGGGTCATATATAAATTTGGGACTTGAATATGTTTTTAATCACTGCAAATTTAGTTTTTTTTTCTTGGTCCCAGAAATTTGGTTTTTCATCCCTACAATTTATGCTGTTTTCTTTTTAGCCCATCTCTGCCAAACTCCGTTCAAAAGATATTGATGTCGCTCAAAGAACTTCAATCTGACCTTTACACACCAATTTTCTAAAATTCTTTTGAGACTATTAGAGAAGTTAAAACTAAGAGATCATTCCCTCTTTCAGCTAACACTTCTCTGGCTCTCTAGAAATTAAAAAAAAAGTATTTTTTAAAACAAAATGACGTAAAAGCAAGATTGAAGTTCAGTGAGCCACTCCGAATTTCTAAAAAAGGAGGTTAAAACAGAGTTACTAAAAAGAAATCAGGGTATAATGAAGGATAAAAGGCAAAAACAAAAATGAAGGGATATAAAACATACATGAAAAATGATATTTTGCAGGAAGAGAATGACATATTCAAGTATGACTTCAAAGTTCAAATACAAAAAAATGCATATATCTCAATAACCTAGCATATATGTCAGTGGGGTTTGCAACATTTGACCCTCTCCATCTGTTCTCAACTGAAGAAGAAAGCAACTTTGCCTTATGCATTCTCTCGTACAAGGTCTGTTTAATTCAAGAGTGTTAATAAGTATTGCAATACCATCATGGTATCTCCAGTGATGTAAAACCATGTTACCTGGTGAAGTCTAAACAGCATGTAGAAGGAATCGTTTCCATAAAAAATTCTCAATCCATCCTTGTCATGCAATGCTAAAGGAACTAGTGTGTTCAGAGGCTTAGCTGTTGTCTGTATGCCACTTACCAACAATGGCAATGAAATTCCATCTTCAGTATCATGGACATAATCTATACCATCCACCTCAGCTTCGTTCTCAGCCTTGTCATTTTCATTATGGTCACCATCTTCATCATGAGAGCCTTCGCCATCAGCAGACTCACTTCCTGAAACATCCCCATGTTCAGATACATTTCCAGTGTCCTCTGATGTTCTTTGAGCACTTTCATCGCCTTCACCATCAGCATCATTTTCACCTCTAGCCACTCTACCACATGACTCTTTTCTATCACCAGTTTGGTACTGTTTGTTAGTGGTAGTTTCCTTTGTAGTTTGTACCAGTGCAACTTCTAGGTCATTACTTGATCCAATATTGACATCAAAATCATCATTTGGAGATAATTCACCCTCTTCTCTCTCAAATTTTAGTAATTCTTCTGATTTAAGTGCTGGACAGTCGACTTGCACTGCTTTTGTGAACCTAAGCTCCTATTGCGCCAGCCAGGATAAACAAATTAGAAATAAGCTATGAGGCCGGTTTTAGTTGCATAATTTACAACAAAACTACAAATCTTTAGCATACATTAGCTTCTTTGCAAGTTCTTATCTCAAGTCCACTATGCACAGCAGTTCCACAAAGACCTACCAATGGAAAAAACAAAGTCAGCATTATCACCATAATCCCAACTAGGTTAGGATCCGTGGAAAAATATTTACGATCTCAATTAATTGTGTAAACTTAGTTAATACCATATATTCATGCAAAAGAAAAAAGAATTTTGCAAAAAATGGAAAGGAAGTTTACTGATCAAACTAGGACCCATTTGCAAAGCACAAATATTTTCTCTACCGAATTTCCCACGAGTCTCCTTCCTTGCAGCAGCACTTAAATGGGCTTCCTGCTCAGCAGAAATCACACCACTTGGTGAATCGCCAATGTGAGGTGGGTTACGTGAAGCATTAATCTTCCAAGCAGATCTATCTGCTGCAGCATGAGTACCATTCTTTTTTACTAAATCACTAGTATCAGCTAAGTGAACTCTGGATGAAATCGAGCGCTTGGGATGAGGACCTTCATCTCCTTTTTTGTAAAAGTTGTTTGGTAATCTGGAATTAATCACAGTGCCACCACTGGCATTAGCAGGACCCCTAACCCTCTCACCAACAGCACCAGTGATGGTTTCAGCAATGTGATTGCTGTCCATCTTGATGAATTCTCTATCGTTGGAAACTTGAGGATGAGTACCAAGTCCAAGCACTGGCTCCACAAATGTAGTCCAGACCTTCATAACTTTATCAAGCTGCTCCGTTGTGCAAAATTCTTCACAAGCAAACTTAATGAGCTCATAAAGGTCCTCATGGATGTCAGGATCAGGAAACGTAAATTCCAAATGAGGAACTACTGGCAGTCTATTCCCGATAGCAACAGAAAGAAGCAAATCATCCTCTTTGCACTTCATTTCACCAATTTCTTTTATTTCAGCCAATAATGCTGGATAGAAAGAGAAATGTATGACCTATGAGGCAAGGCAAGCACATGCTTCATACCAACTTAATAAAGTGAAATGTTTAAAAGTAAAACAAGCAAATACCATGTCAAACAATTCTCTAAAAATAAAGATTAAGAGAATGACTTACATATATAGGGCAAATATATGAAATCTAAACCAGCATCTGGGAGAACATATGACAAGCCACTGGATTGCAGTTTTTAACAAGACAGCCATCCAAACAATTTGGCAAATGGCAAAATAATAATAATAATAATAATAATAATAATAATTATAATTATAACAAATTCTTGCCTAACCCCTATACTAAAATGCGCTTTTGGGCATCAAAATCCCCCCCCCCCTCCCACCCTCCACAGGGCTGGAAAGAAACATGTAGCCTTTGATATACTTTCTCACAAAGGAAAAAAAGTGGCATTCTCGGAAACTTGTAGGCATCTTCCATAAAAGACACCGAAAATACATATCAGTATTCAACAAGTCAACAACCTAAACTATAAAAAGAAACATGGATATATTGACAAAACAATCTGGAAAAAAGAGTACCAGAGAAGAGGGCAGATCCAAGATTGGAGATATTGGAATACCGACGAACATAAGTGGCAAGAAGAAAAAAGAATGATTGATGCATGACATTTTTGGTGAAGTTATTGGGATCAGATACCATACAACCACCGCAGAATACGCAATGGAAGAGGCCAAAGGGGAAGAAGAGATTGGTTAGGAAAGGATGATTGTGCATCTAGAATTTTTCCTAGTGATGCAAGAGAGAAAAATGGCATTTATAAATTTATATTAAATGTATGATTTATTTTGCATATTAGAACTTAAGAAACTATCAGGACACTCTAGGAAAACAACCGTACAACACATTCTAGGAAAACAGCAGTAAAATACTAGGAAAAACGACCATACAACCTGGCTGTTTGCTTTACTTGGAGACAGCAACAAAAAGGAAATCAAGCCAGTAAGGCAAGCATATAAGTATGTTTTTTGCTATAAAGGCAAAAAGGAAAAAAGTCCCAAATCAATTATAAGTTAAAAAAAGTCAAATTCCTAAACTAATTTAAAAGAGGAAAGTTGATAGTGGAGGGAGCAACAAAAAGTAAATAAATATAAAAGACACATCATACAGCTCGTCAGCTCATCACCAGATAACACAAGTTTAAGGCCAATGTGCGCTACAAATTGAAGCTCTTCAACTAATTTCCAAATTTTGAATCTAAGATTAGCTATGAACTAAAAACACCATTTCTCAAGGATTTGCACTTGAATTCAATTGGGAATTCAAATTTACAAAAAGGAACGAGAAATAGACACGAACATCTTCCAAACTTAAACATTCAAAATAAATCATGAGTGCCATACAAACACTCGATATATTAAACAAAAAAGTCTAACGAAACAAGGAAATAGCAACTATGATGTTCCAGAACAGCTGATGTCTCACATATGTAATCAGTACTACACCTTCTACGCACCTCAAGGTGAACTAAAGAGAGCATCTGTGAAATTGTACATCATAATGTCATATGCCCATGATTGGGAAAATTTGTTCTGCATTACCTTTAGTACTCAAGCTCTTTGTGTCCTGTTGCTTGAAGTAAAAACTACGATGATCCAGTGATTTATGATAGTTTTTAACATAAATATCAGCCCATACTTTATTATAATCGTAACGACACCTTGCCCATTCCTCTTGTTTCTGCTTCAACCGAGTCAGAATTACAGGCAGAGCAAGTGGTGCATTCTTCCTCAACACATCCATAACATCAAGCCCATGATCACCGTAGAGACGCTCTATGCATCTTAGGTTGAGAGCTGCAGAAAAATAACATTATTAGAGAGTATCCCACATCGGAAAAGTGAGAAGAAAATAATCGGTATATAAGCTCTTGAGTTGAACTAAGTAATCGATTGGATTTAATATTTTAATGTGGTTCAACCCAAGTGTCTTATTATTCAAACCAGTTATCCGTACCGCATTCTAAATTCTATCATAGTATCGGAGCCATTTTTAGCCTACCTTGTATGTTAAGGCGTCCGTTCAGGCGTTCATTCCTAGCGGTCCAGTCTTTAGCCAAGTTGTCCGTGTGGAATGTATATCCAACGGTCTGTGGCTTGTTTAACCCGATTTCTTGTCTCAAAGTCCATACCCAGTGGCTCGTGGTTCTTTAGGTGTTGGCGCTCAAAAATAAAAATCAAGGGATTGAGAGTCTATTTGCAAGTAGTCAACCAGTAAGATTCAAAATGGCCCGGTCGTCCACTTGAGGGGGAGTATTAGAGAGTATCCCACATCGAAAAAGTGAGAAGAAAATAATCGGTATTTAAGCTCTTGAGTTAAGCTAAGTAATCTATTGGATTCAATCTTTTAATGCGGTTCAACCCAAGTGTCTTATTATCCAAACCAGTTATCCCTACTGCATTCTAAATTCTATCAAACATTAAGTACTAAACATGCATGAGAGAATATTAGATATGAAATTAAACAAATAATCACCACTTATCAGCACGTTACCATTGAGATAGTCTTCAACCCGAATGGGGGTGTCATCACTTCTTGTACTATCGTGGATCTTATCGAGCAATACTTCAACACGTCTCGTGGTCACATTTACAGATTCCAACAGCATATCCAACTCAAACCTGGCATGACCAAAATACTATAAATAAAGTACGGGACATAAAAACCAAGCTACACTTCAAACACACAAATTTGGGATATGGTTAATACTTCATAACTTTAGGTCAAACAATAATCAGCTCTACTGCTCTTCCCTTCTGTCTCCACGTCTGCAAATCTCTAATCTCCCGTCAACTTAATAATGCAATTAAATCAAGCTTTTACATTGTGAGACCATCGCTATTAACTACAAAGTATTTCACTAGGAGTCTAGAAAATATTTATAGATATAGAGTGAGATAAGCAGAAAATTGTTCCAACCACATAATAGAAGTCACAACACATGAAAACAATAAACCATCCATCTTATATATGATCATTTCCTCCATATATGGAAACCGTAATGAACTTTATTTATTTTGCTAGCATTTATTGAAGTTTGTTGTTGACTTGTTGTTGCTAGCATTTATTTAAGTCCTTTAATCAATTAAAAAGAAGTAGAATTCAAATTTCTCATTAAAGAACCAATGCATTGCATGTGTATTGATCTAATTATAGCTAATACCAAATAAAAAAATATTATCTGGAAAAACAAAGTAGGGGTAAGTTCTGCTTAGACGCACCCTCCCGGATCCCACTATGTGGGATTTTACTTGGTTTGTTGTTGTTGTAAAGAAAAAAAGTTGCACTTTGTTTTACATATTATGTGACATTGTGATAAACTCAGTAAATGTTGTAGAATCATGAGGATGAAAGAAATATCCAACCTGTCATCGTCACAACGAAATAAGCTCTCTTCATATTGGTTTTTACGCATATGTTTAAATGAGTAATCTTCACTCCCAGAAGTTACAGAAACCCAGTGATCATTTAAAACCTCTTTGCCTATCTCAGTTCTCTGGCTTGCTATTGGAATTGGATACTGAATATAAGCAAAGCAAAACTTAAAACAACATACACACGCACACACTTCATAAAAGTATCTCGGATTATTGCAATTATAAAGACCGATGATTACATTCTTAGGGAGAAGTCTATAACTGGGAGTGCAATGCTCACAGTCAGAGAGGTCAAGTTCATGTATAGGTTTCCCGATATACTTATCCTTGCTTGAGAAGATCTTCTGTGCCAGTAAATCTTTAGGCATGTCCCCCTCTCTGGTATCATGATCTTGATCTCTTTCTTCCCACACATGATCCTGATCTTTATCTCTTTCTTGAGTTTCTTCTACCTTCACCAATATGGGAAATTTCCCATCATTCCATAGGGATGCTGAAGGTTAAAACCATTAGTTAGAGATTATCCACATAATAGTGTGATTCTAAGCAGTGACTAATGGTAAAATTGTTAAACAATAAGGAATTTGTTTCTTATATGCTTGGTGTTAAAAGGCACGAGGCATACCGAGGCACATCTAGTTAACTAAACTCAATTATATATTTATATGGCTTGTTCAAGATATCATCCAATAACTTGAACACATAATAATATAGTAATAAAAGAAATCTCCAAAGATCAATAATAACAAAACATTAAAGTGTTTTGCACTCCAAACTCTTTTTTTGAACACTCCAAACTGAAAATAAAAACAAATTGCATTAGATTAAAAAAACAGTATGGTTTAAATATTCAGCAAAGATGAAAGAGAAAAGATGAGTGTGAAACAGTACTAAATTTTTGGGGTCAAATACTGAAGTACTTTGCATCATTATTAGAGTGCAAAAAAAAGTACTGAAACAGAGGAGAAATCGACTGTGAGATCGTTAGGTGCCTGGAGACGCGTTACAGAGAGTGAGTAAGAAAACTGAGAGAATATTTGACTGAATAAAGAGTATACCTGGAGATGCGATACAAAGAAGTTAACTGTGGAAGAAGTCGATGCAGAAGAAAAGATGAGAAAGCAAGAAGAGTAGTCAGATGAGATATAGATGTTGTGAGGTTAGTGTTTAGATACGCATTGTTTTCAAGAAAAAAATATCCAATCCGACTCGACCCGGTTTCGTATACAATAACCCTACCTCTCGCCTCGCGACTTACAACAGGCGCACTAATACGCAAGAAGCGTGCGCTGCGCGCTGGTGTCCTGACTCCTGAGGCATTTTCTTGATTGCACTGCTGCGCCTCACGCGCTTTTTAAAACCAAGCTTATATACGGCAACTAAACTACATGGTCAGAATATCAACCATATTGCTGAAGAAGACAGGTAAAATCCTTTAAACTAGAAAAGAACAATCTTACATACATTTATTCAGGGTAGCAGTAAGGTAACCATCTGCATTGTACACCAAAATACATAAGTATAGCATGCAGAACAAAAACTCAATGAAGAATAAAACAAACATTTAATGATAGAGAATACGATTTAGATTTTTATTACTACCTATGTTATCACAGTGGTTTATAAACTCATTGAAACCTTCCATAAGGTCCAGATGTCCTTCAAGTAAATCAGCTACCTGAATAAATGAAAACATCATTTCATATATCCATTTACTCTTGCCCCAATCAAAAGATGCAATCATCATAACAAGAACTTTTCGTAGGTATACACAGGGTCATAATGTCAAGCCATAATGTATAATTGGATATTAATAATAATTATTATTATTATTAGCCATTAACTTTAATATGTAGTGTGATAAGTCTGTGTATTGTCCAAAGTCTTCCCGAAGATATCACAAAAAAAGAACGGAAGCTTGAAGAATGAATCTATAGTGAAAAAGATCAACCGCACCTTCTCACCCTTGGCAGGGAGTGTGTGTTACCTTGCTAAGACACATTGAAATTATTACTCCATAAGTTATTGAGTATTCTAAACTATCAACTCTTATAGAGCTATTGCAAGTCCTCATCATATAAGGAAGGAGACTTGTAAAGAATATAGAACTATGTTAACTTAAGACTTGCTAAAATACATATACTAAATTCAATATGAATCTAACGTTAGACAAGTGCAACTTGCACTGCTTTCCATGTGGCTTACTGAGGTGCCGCTGATATTCACGCTGTATGAATGGGCCCTTATCACCCCCCCCCCTGGTGTGCTGTCAGAGAACTTGTACTCAAGCTTTAAAATTTAAATCTTGAAATGATTAAGGGACAGCCTTGAATGTTTCCCAGGTGGCTACCTCGAATAGCTACCCATCCCAATGGATAACCACCTCCTGGTGTCCCCTACTCACGCAACCCTTGATAATGACCAAAGGTTTGAAAATAGTGTTGGTCACATAGTGCAGGCAGTGTGCATTGAGATTAGAATATGACCTTAGTAGGGCTTTAGTAGAGACACATGAAAGACATCATGAAGTGACTATCAGGAATAAGGCCAATTTATATGCACCCTCTTGATGCGGCTGTGCTTTAAGACGGTCCAAAATACTTGGGAAGTACCTTGTGGTGGTGGCAAGATGGATGAGCACCCAATCCGACTCCTATACAACTAAAAGAACATACTGCTGATGCTTATAATGATGTGGTTTCATCTGATTATGTGCTTGAGCTAAGAAGTTCTCTGCAATGGCCAGAAGAGGCTAGTCACTGTTATACAGCTCTCGGTCAACACCTTTGAATTTAGTGAAGATTACGGGTAAAAAGCAAAATGCACCCTCGAAAAGTAGAAAAAAGGTAAAGTGCACCCCGACTTCTCCCAAATATCATAATCCACCCTCAAAACTTGTAGTTCCTTCCACTTCACACTCAATCATCAAACACCGTCAAATAAACTAACAAGGCTAGGGTATTATCGTCAGTTGTAGCAATGCCAAACATAAAAGAATGCAGTAAAAAGAAATAAGAATATCAATCTTATTTGATTTCTCAAATCCGCATTGCAAACCCAACAAAGCATACCAACCAATTGGATTATTAAATCTTATTGCACAACCAGTTACACAAAAAAAACATGGGAATTCAACATGCCCCGTCAGTGAATTGAAATTACCTAGTCACCAGCGGCTTCGTGGGTATTTGTATTGGTCAATTTCAAATCTATTTCCACAAACAGCAAAAAAAAAAAGAAAAAAACAAATATACATATAAAAAACCACAAATAACAAAAACAAAAATACAGAAAAAAATTGCAAAAAATAAACGGCAAAAAGAAAACTGAAAAAAAGGAGAAAAACTGGGGAAAAAGGAAAAAATACCTACTTTCAATAATTAGCAAAAAAAAGTAAAACACCGTACCTGAGATGAAGATCGGCAATGGGAGATGCAGATGTGCGTCCTAGATAAGTGAGATCCGAAGAAGAAGAACCGTGGAAGAAAGAAAAAAAACGGAAGAGGAGAAGGGATCGAGGAGATGTAGCAGAACGAGAAAAGCTCCCAAGGTTAATATTCTTGCAGTTAACGGCAATGGACGGTAGGGGATGGTGGAAGGTTAGGTGGAAGCCATTATAACTTTTGAGGGTGCACTATGAAATTTAGAAAAAGTGAGGGTGCAAATTACTTTTTTACTACTTTTTGAGGGTGTATATTGAGATTTACCCGAAGATTACGGTATAGGACAACATTTGGAGGGATCCCTGCCATTGACAAGGTGAAAATGTCTAACCCTTGCCCAATGCTGAGTGATAGACAGATAGGAAGTCTTATATCTATACTCAACCCAAAGTACCCAACAGCCAATCCCGCAGATATGCACTGGTCAAACACCTCAAAAAAACTACATGGTCTAATTCACTACCTGGTTTATCCATTTGTTTGTGGGTGATAAAGGAGAAGGTGAGCTTGGAGCCAAACAAAAAAACTCAGGCAAAAAAAAAACTCACGAACACTTTGTCGTGGAGATGATGGACTCGAGCAGCACATACTTCTTCACCCTTAAATTATTGCTCAATTAGACTGGACACGAAATTTAAGAAAAAAGAAAGCTATGTGTTTGAGGCTTATTTACAAGAGAGATAAATAATGCGGGGTATTAACTGTATTTTCTTTCCATAAAAGGAAATGGGTGATGATTAAGGTACAGGTGAAAGACAAAAGTGAGAAGACAGTGTAGGATGTACATGATTGTGAATGGGTGTGTCAATGCAATGAAAAGTCCACATCCTTCTCCAATGGAATCCCTGACGAACGCGTTATAGGATATTTTCAATCCTTTAGGGCCCATTTGGTGAGTTTTAGAGATATTATAAGATATGAGTTTTAAAATCTGGGAGAAATTATATGGGTTTTGAAATCTGAATAAAAAATGTTCGGAGAAAATAGAAATCAAATCATAGCTAAAATTGTTTGGTCAGTACTTAAAAAATCAAATGCATGTGTTGAATACTGTTCTAATATGGGTGTATTAAAATACTCTGTAATAATTTTATGGGTGAAACACACACACATATCTATACAAAATCCAAATTCCATGAAAAGTATACTCTGTACAAATGAAGCATTATATGAATTAAAAAATCTGTTACATTATTTTGAAAATCTGTTACTTTCTCTTGCCTCTTCTCTGCCCTGCTCTCTCCCGTTGTAACTTGTAACGGCTCTTCCTCGGAGAAGTCGCCGGCGCGTCGACCCTCAGCGTCTGTCCTCCCTGCCGGCGGTTTAGACGGTCGTCGGACGGCGGCGGGCGGCGGCGGGCGGCGGCGGACGGCGGCTAGGAGCACAGGTAAGTACACACCCACCCCCCACCCCTTCTCCAGACCTAACACCCTCAGATCCGACCCTAGTCACCAACCCTTTCGCCGGTCGCCGCCGACCCCCCCACCCCTTCGCCGTCGACCTGTCCCCCGACCCCTCCGTCACAGATTCCTCCTTCCCCCGCAACCNAATGGAGCCATATCCAGCATTACTAAAATGAGTTTGTATTTCGTCTTTAACAATATCCCATGGAAAACTTGAATTGACAACAAGTGTTTTTTGGTAGTCTCTTGTGTAGAGTATATGACCATCACTCTCTATGATCTCACCCCCCAAAAAAATATTAAGAATTTGATTATCAGAAAAGGACATGATGAACACTACAAAGAAAAACGATTTGAAATTCTGTGATGAATGTCATAGCAAGATTTATGGGCAGGGAAGAGCCTTAATTTCGCATGTACTACATGCAAATTGGGCTGACATGCTGACTGACTAAATTCACATGTATAACACGCAATTTTGACTGACTCGCTGAGTGACATCACTTTACTCATTTCACATGTACTACATGCAAAATAAATATAATTTGTTTGTTTTTTGTTTTAGATTTCGAAATATAAAAGATCAAATTAAACTTTTTTTTGGCTTCTTTCGTATTTCGGGAAAAAAATATCTAATTTAAGATTTTTTTTGTTTCCTTCAAATTTCTAAATTTTAAAAAAATATCAAATTAAGAATTTTTTGTTTCCTTTATAATTCATAATTAAGCATAAAAAATTACCAATTTAAAAATTTATAATTCATAATTGTACATAACAAATTAACAAAAAAACATAACAAAAAAACACAACATGGAAAGTTTAAATTCATAATTGTACATAATTTAATAATTCCACCACGATGAACTAGGAACATCATTAGGCATGTTAGAAGATGACCCAAACAATTGAGCTTGTGTGTCAAGGCCAGGTTGTGTATATGCTTGTGCTCCATTGCCACCTCCTTCTCCGCCATCATCATCATCGTCGTCATCGTCTTCATCATCAACTTCATCTTCATCTTGAAGATGTGTGTTAACATCTGCGTGATATCGTGACATATCTTGGAGTGTACTCTGGATAAGTTGTAAGCACACATTGTTGACAGCACGAGAACATCCACTCGACAAGGTAGCATGCAACTTTTTGAACCCATTAACCTACAAAAAAAATTTAAAAATCAGTAAATATATTAAGGAGTATTGTTTATTTAAAAGAATAAATATAAGCTAGCAAACCGCAATAGCTAGAGCAGCTGCAGAGCTCTCAGCGCCTTCATTGTGATGGTGGGCAGGATTTCGTATTAGACGCCGTCCGCGTGCTGCAAACCAATCTCGATAACCCATCCCGAGATTTTCACCAACATTGTTTTGTTCAGTAACTTCTGTCATGTGGTTAATGGGAACAGATAAAAATCGATTTTCATTCCACAACCGTGCACATTCATTGACAATGTTCATGCTTAGTGTCCCACTACTCTTGTGGTGACTAGGTACATATGCGTATGGAAGATCCGGCACCTCTTGTAGTCTACCAAATTGTCTTGCAAAACGCAATGGCATCACCGGCTCTATATAACTTCGGTACAAAAGGTAGCCCTGGAATGACCATAACGCAATACCTCTACTACAATACTCTTGCAAGACTTGTACATTATACGGTTGCCAAAGGATCTATAAAAATCTAATGTCAGATAGTAGAATTTCATTTCTAAGAAAGAACATAATAAACAAAAAACAAAAAATATAATTTCCAAAAAATGAGACATACGTGACGCTCCAAAAGCCCATCAAATTGGTCTCTAAAATACCGCACATTTTGTCGTGCGGTACGAGAGTATTCCTTAGACATCCTCCACCTAAAAAGAAATATTTCACAATTTCATATTAATAAATTTTAATAAAAAGTTTGGAAGTATTAAAAGATAGAAGAAATAAAAAGACCTGGCACCATGTGGGTCATTCCCAGGTACATAATCATCATGCCGGTGTCGGGGAAGAGAGTGCACATCCGGACAAATAGTTGTGATTCGTGCCCAAGCCCAGAGTTGGAGAAGTAGCATATATCCACATGGACGGGCATTATTCACTCTAAGGGAGGCCCGACATAAACCACTAAATAATCTTGCAAGTACAGCTGAACCCCAACTAAAATTTGCAATCGTGTCAAAATCTCCCAGATATGATACAAAATCTGTAGGTGCAAAGCGGCCAGATGAGTCTGGAAACAAAAGACCAGCCAAATACCCATAGATGACCCGAGCTGTGTATTGCTCCACCTCCCGATTTGTCCATCCAGCATTTGGTTGAACTTGCTGTTCAGGATTTCGTGGAAACAATTCTTTGATCTTAAATTGGTCAGGACGGCCCAGATGTTCATCAAGAAGTGTCCAGTTCAGAGCATGCAAAAAATCATGGTCTCTCTCTTCTACGGTGTGTCTCAACCCAAGAAATGCAAATCCGTTAACGGGGAGACCCAATAGACACTCTACATCCTGTAAAGTGATACCCATCTCTCCAAAAGGGAAATGAAAAGCATGCACCTCCGGTCTCCACCGCTCAATGAGAGCAGTGATTAAACCATGATCAAATCTAATTGGGTGCACATGGTGTACCCCATAAAATCCAGCCCTCCGTAAATCTTGGAGAACCCTGGGGTCATGAAAAACAGTAGGGATGCGACTATGATATCTAACTGAAACTAGTTTATTGTCGCAAAAATCCTTAAGTTTCCACACCCGACTAGAACGATGAGTATTCTGTAAATGTAACATGTCTTCTATTCTAGGGCCCGCTATCTCTCTCTCCATCTCTCTTTCTCTTTCCATGTCATCCATTTTTGCACTACAAAAATTAAATAATAAAAAGATATTTTTTTATTCTTAATATTAGTGCATACAAAACATATCTATTTCGAAAAAAATATATATATTCATGTAAACACTATCTAAAAAAATTTATAAAACCTAATTTCGAAAAAAAAATTTAAAAGTTAAGCGAAATATACGTAATAAAAAAATACTTGAGAAATGTTAAATGATACTCCCTCCGTCCATAAATAAACTTCCCACTTTCCTTTTTCGTCCGTCCACAAATAAACTTCGCATTTCTTATTTTGGAAACTTTTTTATAGCAAAAAGACTTAATTACCCCTGCCCTTCCACTCTTTTTTCTTTCTTTTCCTTCTTCCTCTCGCCCACATCCCACCCACTTCTCTTTCTTCTTTCTTCTCTCCGTTCCGGAATTTCTCACCAGAATTATGTCACCCGAATATGTTGTCTGATTGAAGATGCAGTGGGATGGTGGGAGTGGGTGACAGAACCAATTGATGGTTCATGGTCGTGGAGATGGAAGATAGGGGTGAGGGTATAATGGGAAAGTCAACACAATTTTCATCACACATAAAATTGCGTGCCCGGTCAAACCGGGAAGTTCTTTTTTGGACGGAGGGAGTATATAGTAGTGTAAGAATAGATTAAATTTGAAGAGTGTGTAAAGTGGTGGGTGAAGGGGTGGTTTGAATAAAATTATATGAGAAATAATTAAGAAGATAAAATATCTTAATAAGTTCATAAAAAATATATTCATGTAAACACTATTTTAAAAAATATATTCATTAAAACACATAATTTAGAACAAAAAATTTTCCTACATTTTTATAAAAAATTCAAAATATTATGGAGCACATAGTTGATAATATATAAACATAATCTATAATGAAATAAAAATGAAAACTAAAAAAACTTAACATTTATAATCAATATTATTAATATTTTAAAGTTAACTGAAATATAAGTAATTAAAAAAATACCTGAGAAATGTTGAATGTAATGGAGTAGTGTGAGGATAAGTTAAATTTGAAGAGTGATTAAAGTAGTCGGTGAAGGAGTAGTTTAAATAAAGAAAAATGTGAGTGAATTAAGAAGATGAAGGGGTGAGTGAAGTTAAATGGTTGGGATGGGAGTGGTTGTAATGTGTGGTGGAGTGGAAAAGGTGGGGTGGAAAAGTAGTGGAAAAGGGGGGTTTTAATGAAGGGTGCCGTGGTGGAGTGAAAAAGGTGGGAGTGGACTGTTTCTGCATGTAGCACATGCAAACTGAAAAAAAAAGGTTTCTCGCATGTAGTACATGCGGTTTCACCCGGGCCAACTTTACTGACAAATCGTCAGTTCTGATTTTTTTTTTTAATTTTTTTGGGTTTCGCATGTAATATGTGCGATTGTCCTTCTGGGGAATTTAATGTTCCACTTTAGGAAATATATTTTCCTTTTTTTCCGTCTGAGGGAAACCACCCTATGTACTATGTGTATCTTTTTATGGTATGATGTCATCGTAGAATATCATAAACTATAAAAAGTATGAAAATAAGTATCCCGTAAAAGGTTATGGTTGATTTAGTAATATTTTGATTTAGTTTAACTCAAAATTAAAGTATTGTTTAATTTGATTTTTAAAATTGGAAACGGATACGAATATATCTGATATCTGACGGATGCGAATATGATTTTGATTTTCAATATCCGTCAAGATCCGTATCCGAATTTGATATCCGACAAAAATAAACGGATACAGATTTGGTAATGGCACATCCAATCCGATTAATATCCATTTACACCCCTACTTTCTATCTTTTTTTTTCGATTTTTCTCTATTACCTCCATTCCACTGAATTTGTCTATCTTGACTTTTTCGAGTCGAACATAATGAACTTTGAGCTTCAATTAGACCAAAATTATAATATATTTTAGTATGAAATTGATTTTCTAAGATTTAATCTATTGAAAATTTTTAAAATATTATTTTATTGTACTAATATACAAAAAAATTAAGAGTATTTATAACTCAAAATTATCTTTTTTGATTCAAAAAAGTCAATCAATACAAATAAGTAGAAATAGGAAACTTCAAACTACTTTTGAATCGGGATTTCCTTGGGTGGGATTGTACCACCCTACTTGTGTTGGGCTTTGTGGAGGCTTGTTTGTCGGCCTGGCCCAGTTGTGCGTAGCCCTAGCTTTTTCCCTATATATAGAGGGCTTGTATTTGTAATCGAGACACCACAAGTGAAATAAGAAAATCCTCCTGTTGCAGCCGTGGATTAGGAAAACCGAACCACGTTAAATTCTTGTGTGTCGTTTGTGTTCCGTTTCTCTCTCGTTTCTCGCAGATATTTGTGTGTGTTGTGTGTTAATTCCCAACAAGTGGTATCGGAGCCAGATTATTCACACGAGAACACAAATTGTGAGAAAAAAGTGTCACCTAGGGTTTGCAGATCTAGATCTGTATCGTTGGATCTGTGTGTGCGACCGATTTGAAGGACCGAAGGGAAGGGCATGAGCAGCGGCAGAAGGAGCCGCCGCCGCCGCGTTGAAGAGCCGTCGCCGTTGTGAAGGGCCGCAACCGGATCTGAAGAGTGAACCACAGCCGCTGGTTCGGAGTTGTGCAGCAGAGGAGAAGCCATTAGTTCGAGGGAGATCTGAAGCCCGTCGGTCTGTAGAGGCAGAGCTGCCGTGCAATCAGCCGTTGTGGTGCAAGTCAAGTGTTGTTGCCGCCACCGAGTGCAGATCAAAACCGCCGCCATCCAGATCGTGTTGCCGTCGCCGCGAGGAAGATCGCTGACGTCGCCGTTTGCGGACAGACCGCCGCACCGAGACTGTAGACGCCGTCAGCCACGTCGAGCAGCCCCTAGATCGCAAGCCCGCCGCCGTCTTGTGCATATCACTGCCGCTGCCATCTTCTCCTGCTTGGAGCAGTTTTGGGGGGCAGGTGCGAAGTAAGGAAAGTGGGCCAGTTTTTGGTCTTGTTTTGTTTTGGGCTTGGTGCTTGGTTTGGGCTAAATTAATTGGTGTGGTGGGCCTGATTTTCTGACGGAAAAATACCAAGATCTGAAATTAGTTGGACTGGGTATCTTGTCTAGTCGTTTGAGATGGTAGAAGACGGGAAGTTCCGAATTGAGAAGTTCGATGGTACAGATTTCAGTTGGTGGAAAATGCAAATTGAAGATTTGCTGGTTCAGAAAGATTTGGACGTGGTATTGGGTGACAAGCCAGAAAAAATGTCGGATGCAGATTGGGCAAGTTTGGATCGGAAAGCTATGTCAGTGATCCGTCTCTCGTTGACCAAGAATGTTGCGTTCAACATTCTGAAGGAGAAGACAGCGAAGGGAACTATGGAAGCGTTGTCTAACATGTACGAGAAGCCATCTGCTGCTAACAAAGTTTTTCTGATAAGAGAGCTGGTGAACACAAAAATGAAAGAAGGCACTTCAGTTACCGAGCATATCAACAAGTTGAATTCGATCTTAGCCAGACTCTTGTCAGTGGGCATTAAGTTCGATGATGAAGTTCAAGCTTTACTACTGCTATCGTCTTTACCTGATAGTTGGTCCGGAACGGTTACAGCAGTTACCGGTTCAGTGGGACCCGATGGATTCACCTTTGATCAGATTCGAGATCTCGTTCTTGGCGAGGACGTCAGAAGAAAGAGTTCCGGGGAATCATCTGGTGAATTGCTTCATGTTGGTAGAGGCAGAAGAAATAGCAGAGGTAGTGGGAGCAGGAACAAACAAAGGAGTCAGTCGAAGACTCGTGACAGCTTAGGTGTAACGTGCTGGAAGTGCAAGGAGGTAGGGCATTTTAGGAATCAATGTCCGAATGATAAGAAAGTAAACATTGCTCAAGGCTCTGCGAGTGACGATGAGGTCGCTCTGACTTGCTGTGAGGAAAGCAATGTGGATTCCTGGGTCATGGATTCTGGTGCTTCATTTCATGCTACCCACAGCGGTGAAGCATTGCAGAATCTAGTTTTTGGAGACTTTGGAAAGGTACGACTAGCAGACGACAGAGCTCTTGAGGTGACGGGCATGGGTGACATGGTGTTGAAGACCCTAGTCGGTTTCTGGACTTTGAAGGATGTCAGAGTGGTTCCAGCCTTGAAGAAAAGTTTGATTTCTGTCAGGCAGTTGGACGAACAGGGACACGAGGTGAAGTTCAGAGATGGGCAGTGGAAGGTCATAAAGGGAAATCTTGTCATGGCCCGCGGAAGAAAGAGTGGTTCGCTGTATATGGTCGAGTTACCATCTGAGGGAGTGACCGTCCTAGTTCAGAAGAAAAACGAAGTCCGGTTCACAGAGTCTCGTGGGCAGAATAAGGTTGTATGTGCAAGAGAGAAACCTAGAGCCACTGGTCAGACTCAGGATGAACGAGTGTGGAAAGGTTCAAGGAGGCCAGTCAGAGGTATTTGTGGCAGTGGGAGCTCAAGAGGCGCTTCAGCCAAGTTGCCTAGAAGACAGTGGGTCAGGAGAACCAGTATTCCAGCTGTTGGAACATCTCCAGAAAATTTCTTGCTAAGTACGGAGATTGTTTGTTCTCAGGATGTTCCAGGATCCGGTAGTGTGCGTCTGCAGTGGGAGCCGGTAGGGACCGAGGACGAGTCAGGGGCAGATTTTGCCGTGACTGATGTGTTGGAGCTTGGGAGAGCTTCAACGGGCCTTTCAGTTGTCTGATGATAGGGCCGCTGCAACAGGAGAGCTGAGGAAGATTACTCGATGTACAGGCGATCGTAGAGGATGGCAGTTGATGATTATCAAGCCTCCAAGTGGGAGAATGTTGGGCTTTGTGGAGGCTTGTTTGTCGGCCTGGCCCAGTTGTGCGTAGCCCTAGCTTTTTCCCTATATATAGAGGGCTTGTATTTGTAATCGAGACACCACAAGTGAAATAAGAAAATCCTCCTGTTGCAGCCGTGGATTAGGAAAACCGAACCACGTTAAATTCTTGTGTGTCGTTTATGTTCCGTTTCTCTCTCGTTTCTCGCAGATATTTGTGTGTGTTGTGTGTTAATTCCCAACAACTTGCACAACTTTACGTTTACTGGAGACCAAAACATCGAACCATTTGGATGCTCTCATGTTCATTTCCTTCACCGGATCATCCACTTCTTTCTTAGACTCCCATCTCCATCTTCCCTCAATCGCGGAGAAGGAAGACTCCGCCAGGGGAGACCGCATCCGCGACTGTCGCCGGATCTTCCACACCCCCTCCTTGCCAGCGGAGGACGCATCCCTTCGACGGTCTGATCTCCGTCCCTTCGCGGCTTCGACCCTGTGTCCTGGCCATCGGGCACTCCTGTTGTCCGCCTTGCAGGTGCCGTGTGCGTTTAATTTACTCCACTTTATCTTCTTTTTGATTTTGTTTCTATTATGATGCCATTTTGCTATCAGAGTTGGAATTAATTTGTTACGGACTAATTTCTATGAAATGACTTTGCTACCTACTAATTTCTAATCCTCCGTTCCAAAACTATGTTGCCACTTTTCTTTTTTCTCTGTTCATTTTCTTATCACGAAAGAAATATGTGGTGCATGGTGTTTCTCTCCTCTTAGCAAACATCAATTGCACAATTTTAACTTTTTTATTCTCGTCTCAGGTCAATGTATGCTATCGTGTGAATGAGGGTGTATGGAATTTCTTGGAATTAATTTCGTAATTCTAGGAAATTTTAAAAAAACTTTCTGAAAAATTTTATGCAATGCAATATTTTGACCATTAATATCTCTATTTATTTATATAGACGTATGTTATTTAAATATGATATTTCAAAACTATACTTCAAAATGATTCTATTCTTATTAAATTTATATCATAACGTAATGTATTTTTTCAACACATATTGTGGTCAAAGTTTAAAAACATTGACCAAGAAAAGTCAAATAGGAATAAAATTACTGGATGGAGGGAGTATAAAATAATTGCAAATTTCTATTCCTCCCATCTCATTTTAGTTTTCTCACTTGACTCTTCAAATTGTTATGCTGCACACAATGAAATTGTTATCGTGTTATATTTCTAATTGTCAGTAGAATTCAAAAAATGAGCGTTGAAGAATTCTTCCTAAAAACTCATAATGTTATTGCGCTTGGAACCCTGTGTTTTGTTAACTATGTGACTTAAACAGTTAAGCTTTTTGTAATAATCTTGTGCAATCACAACATTTTAGTTTAACAATCAGAATTGTCGAACACTGGCTGTGCACCATAGCGAACTCTATTTCTATGTTCCCACTGTTCTTAGGGCATGTTTGGTTCAATGGAAGGGGAGTGGGGGGGGGGGTGTGGGGATTAATGAATTATGTTAAAATATGTAGATTGTTAGAAGGAATCAACATTTAATGATCATTTCAAGATGGGAGGGGAGGGGATTCCATACTTACATTATTGTAAAAATCCAAACATGGCTGGGCGTGAGGCTCCTAAGTACGAGAATGAGTAATAACCAAGCACACACTACGTGCTCGACAAGAAGCAGAGGTACACATTTCTTCAAAAAAGAGAAGAAGTACACATCTCATCAGTCATCAGTACCTTCTAGAACATGGCACATTGTCTAGGAACTCAAACTGGTCTTGAAGAGATTGAGAAGGGGAGGACTACACAAGAGCAGATGGGCCCCATTCCTGAGAGAGCGCTTAGAGTTTGGGAGCAAGGAAACAGAAGTACAAACTACAAACCAATGTTAGTACCTTGTTCTAATTTTCAAATTGAAAACACATGGAAACGTAGTGATATATGGGTCAAAGTCAACCAGTCATCTTTTGCATTTCGGGTGATGTTGTCCATAGCCCATAACTCACTTGAATAAAAACCTTTCTCATATACTCATACCCACCTTCATGTCTTTAAGATAAAAGCTTCAAAGTATTGAATACTGATTCTACAAATTAGATGAAACAAAAGTTCATTATTTATGTTTCATTGAAAACAAATTTGAGAGATTGTAGCCCTTCATAGCTAATGATCCTAAAAGCAACATATTATAACAGCTGGTTTTGATACACAAATTGACAATGCATGCATCACAAGCAAACAAATTCTCATAAAAACCTAAGAGAGAATTTATGGCCTGAGTTGAGATGTAGTTCAGCTAAGTTTTTTAGATCTTAATGCAAAGAAAAAGAAAATAGAAGTGAGAAAATATGTCCTGAGATGTACCGGTCGCATCAGCCTAGAAGTACACAAATTGAATTGGCATTGGTTTCTCATATGAGAAAGCTCAACTTCCCGTATGGAATTAAGATGCGTGATTCTATGGGTCATTTGACTTGCTTTAGTTCTCTGTCGTTTTCATTAATTTTACAAATTTGATACCACAATACTGGTAATAATAATGCAGATAGTGAATTCCAGCGCAATCCTTTTTATTTATTATTTCATATTTAGTTCATCAACTCATGACACAATAATATTGGTATTGGTCCTACATGATATTCCTTCAATGCTTTGGGTCATCCTTGTAACTATTTGTTAAAATGGTGGGCTATTTCTTGTACTCTATGGTAATATCAACAGACATTCTTTTGTGAACAAGGTTTATTCCACATTTAGTCTTGTGTAAAAATAGTATTTTAAAATAAAAATAATATATTTTTGTTTCATAAAAATATATTTTTTGTAATAAAAACATTTTGTTATATTATTTTGTATACACTCCCAAACAACTCTCTCCATGCCAATGTGTTTGTCCGATAATTAATTGCCCCGTATTAATTTTTGGGCCGTCTTGGTTTATTTTTTCACTTTCCTTATAGAGTGATTTTAAGAGTGCCATGAGCCATCTTCAATTAAAAAGTAACGTCAAAATTGTTATCCACCACCATTTATTTCCTCCTCTTTGCTTCACGTGCCAACACATTGCAACGGAGGGAATATTTTATATCGTCCAATAAAACTGTGATTTTTTTAACTATTGCGTGTAATTATATAAATTTTAGTTTCCAAATCTACACTTCAGTGGATTTAGGTATGAAAGATTTCAATAGTTAAAAAAATCACAGCTTATAATTTTGACTTACTTTTTAAATAAATAAAATTTTAGTTTCCAAATCTACACCAATTATCAAATAAATTGCCAAAGTAACTCCAGTTAAACAGTTTAAAACAAAAGTGTAACCTTATTTTGGGACGGAGGGAGTAAAATTACACATAATAAATACGTAGTAGTTTTATACTCCGGGTACAATTTTATTCGGTAATATAATTTTTCATTGAAAAATATGATTTAAGAGTGTATACAACGTTAACAATAACAAACATTATTACAATAATAATACTTCTATTAAAAAAAGTTATTTTATCTTATTATGATTATGATTATTATTATTTTTACAGGGGCCTTAGGGCTTGAACATGGAATAAATTCCATTTACAAAAGAAGTCCGCCAACCAGTATTTACTATAGAAGTGACAAAACAACCATGCATTTTGACGGTAAGTTAATGGATGGTCCTCATAAGACCGTGTGTCAAAGCCCGAAATGAACTTCAAGTATGTAGGTCCAGTATTGATATTACCGTTTGTAATGAATTAAATATCAAATAATTCTAAATAAAAATTATGTGTGTTAGAATTTACTCTCCATATTATTATGATCAATGCTTTGATACCAAACCAGTAAAGTTAATGAAAACGGGATAGGAATAAAGCAAGTTAAATTATCTTCCTAGAATCAGGTGTCATGGTTCCATACGAGAAGTTAAAAATTCTCCTGAAAAGCTAAGAAAAGATTTATTCAAGAAGCCATTGCCAATTCATTTTGTGTACTTTGAGGCTAGATGCTCTCCCTCATTTTGCACCTGTTCTTCAAGACACTTGCTTTTTACTTCTCTCTTCTTTATTCTTTTTTTACATAATGATAGAATATTTATCCTAATTGATACGAGAGGTTCTTTCTTAGGTGTTTATATTAATTTGTTCGTGTTGCTGCAGCAGCTGCAATAGTGCTTCATGTGCTTTCAAAATTGAGGCTTAGAACCAAGTGTTAGCTTTGCTGTTTTCAGGATCATTTAGTATGAAGGGCTACTCGAGCTGGGGGTCTCTCTTGGAAACAGCCTCTCTACTCTCGAGTAGGGGTAAGGTCTCTGTACAACCCTCCTCAGACCCATCTCTCGAGGGATTCTAGTAATTTTACTGGGTGGTTATTATGTAGGGCTACAAATTTTAAACTTGTTCTGTATGCCATAAATAATAGCCTTTTGCTTCATTTAATTCAAAATATCAAGATTCAATAGCTTTTATGTTAAAGATATAAAGGTGAGTATGAGTATATTAAAATGCTTTTATTCAAGTAAATTATGGGCCATGGACAACATGACCTGTCTGGAAGATGACTTATTGCCTTTATTCGGTGCCCAGATAAAAAAATGCTCTCCTGTTTGTTAGCTTAGTTGTGCTTGTTAAAGGAGGCAACTTCCCAGGCAAGCACCCACTCGCACTCTAAAATGAGCTGAAGAGTCATGTCCTTCGATTCATTTGTCACCATACATCCAATGGGTGCTTTCTCCCAGTAGGAAGAAACATAGCAATAAATTCCTCTACAAATATTCAATTTCCTCCACCAACATTTTGCCATGCAGCATGGTGTTTTTTATTTTTTTTTTGTTTTTGCCGTCTCACATGGTGTTTTGTTTTTAATTAATTTTTTTCTTTCTTTGTCGGTAAATCAAGAGCACTCCACCCTATAAAATCTATACTTTCACTCTCAATTTAACTATTACATCTACATTTCGTTCAGCTTTTCTTCAATTTTTTCAAACTCAGTAAATTATAGGTGGGAAAAAATCCAACAAAAGATTGAGGTATAATGATCAATTTCATTTGATGTTTATACAATGTTCATGTTTTTCTACATATTAATATTTTATGTTTATGTTCCTAATAGTCTATATATTCTTGTTTTGAGAGTATGGATGAATTTGAACGTCAAAATGCGGGACCTTTGAGCGAGGAGATAATGTCCTTACAACTGACACATCGATCAGACCGCATTTGGAACGATCCATTGTATGTGGATACAAAAGTTCGTCCTGCAAGGTATGATACTCAAATCCCAGACCAATTTAAGGACCCGAGGACTAATAAGAATCCGGAAGAAGCAGGGTTTTATGGGGTGCACCGTGTGCAAACCATGAAATTAGATCATGGTTTAATCACTGCACTTTTTGAGAGGTGGCGTCGTGAAGTTCATGCTTTTAATTTCACTTTTATAGAGATGGGGAATCACTCTTCAGGATGTGGAGTGTCTAATGGGATTAAAAGTTGATGGAGAGGCTGTAGTTATGTCCAAGTTCAAGAATCTGTTTCAATACTTTGTCGATGTTATTGGTTTTCACCCCAGGAATCTGATTTTGATAACAGGGATAACTTCTCACTAAATGTCCTCGATGTTCTTGAAGAGCAGTACCGTCGGACGAAGTTAGGGTCTTGAGGCGACCATTATTTATAAGTTTCTAAGAGGATTTCTATTCCCGGGTAGCTCCAACAAATATGTTACACCAGATTTCTTACCCCTTTTTCTAGATTTTGCAGAAACAGCGAAGTATAGTTGGGGTTCAGCTGTTCTTGCTTATTTGTATAGAAATTTATGCAAGTTTTCACTTAAGAGTATAGACAATATTAGGCTAAAAGGGTGCATGCTTTTGTTACGTCTTTCGACCTGGGCGCGATTGTCCATGATAAGACCGACGACACACAACATTAATTTTCATCCTCATGGGGTGCAACGTCGTGATGATCATTACGACGTTGTACAATTGAGACACCTCTTGCCTTATTATTTTCACCTTGTATTCTGGATCAACACATACTTTGGAAATGATCATTCGCGATATGAATTGAATCGGTATGTTGATGTCATCAAAGCCATGTCTGAATGACAAGTGTAGCGGAAATATATTTCTTTACCTTCCAACCACTACCGTGTGCGACTTTCCATGCTTGAACAGGATGGTGGCATCGTGGGCTTTTAGAGTGATACCAACACCAGGCAGCCCAGGCCGTCGCTTTTTTGTACTCTGAGATCCAAAATCGATGATCTTTAATGCAGTATTTTGTTACCGCATTTTTCAACGTCTCGAAATTATCAAAATGCATAGATTTACTTAAAGACACTTCGTTAGAGTAACGACGTATACCTTCCCTCGCATCAGCTTCCATACGACGAATCCATGCGAGTTCAAACTCATCATGATCGTTATTGCTACTCTCACTATCATCATCACTAGCCGGGTTGTCCAGGATTGCTTCTGGCTCAGTAACCAATCTACGAACCGTCCGTGTCGGAGGAGTGCTCTCTTCTTTTCCTGATTGACCGTCAGATATGTAGATTTCTAATATACCAAACGACTTATTTTTTTGAAAAATAAGTTCCACGTACGCTGGTTGTTGATTTTGATCACACGAAAACCTGACTTGTCACCCATAGCGTAGGGGATTTTTCCAAAAACAAATGAAATTTGTTGGTATCCAGCTCCGCTAAAATAAACTTGGATTTGATCTCTTGTGATATCCCAACATAATCTTCGTCAATAAGAAGTGTTTTTTTACTTTAGTTATGTACGAAATTACATCTCCTGATTAGATAACATCTCCACCCCAATACACATTCATCATACATTGCTCCATGGTATAGCAAAGTAAATTAAAAGGCCATTGAGGAGAAGAGAAAATAATAGTCAAAGAGGAGAGGAGTAATTAAAATGGAGAGGTGATGATAGAGGATGCGATCAACACAAATAAATAGCAAAACAATGACGATTCTTCTGAAAAACACCATCTCTCTCAGGCAAAAACAAAAAAAATAATTAAACAAGAATGCCATGTGGCATGGCGAAAGTCAAAAAAATAAATTATTAGAAATGCTGTGTGGCATGGCAAAACAAAAAAATAAAAAAAATATTATTAAATTTCAGATTCGCCGTGTGTCAAGGCATATTTCCTTTAGAGGAACTCCCTTTTCTACTCTTTCTGTCTAAGGGAATTGATTCACACCCACATAAAGGTAAGATGGCACATTTTATGCCACAATTTTGCATGGATATGATGCAAGCAAAGAGTCTTTTTATGTATAAAACGAGTAATTTGTTCCTTTTGACATATTGATGTCAGTCACGAGCATTTATAACCTGTTGGGTGATAGTTTTGCAGGGATAGGAGGATTTGCCATGTGGGAATATTTTGCATGGTTCTGTGCTATACTGCTATCATATGTCAGTGTTACATTCAAATGCATTTCTTTGATGAGCGATGATCGCAATCACTTGTGTTTACTCTTAAATCGAAAGATAGACACATTATCTTTTAAATTTAAGAAGGTTTCAGTCTCCTAGCATGAAGTAATTACATAATACTGTATTTCTTTGTTGGTGCAAATGGTGCAATGGGTTCATGCATAATTACATGAACAAAATCAAAGTGTAGCTTATTAGACTTTTGAAATCATATTTATGAGGAATTCAGACGAAAAGTAAGATAATCTGTCCGTTATACCCTTCAACTTTGAAGAATACATTTCGTTATAAATAAAGAAGGGTTACACTTTATACTAGTGGTTTAATTTAAGTTTATGTATTTGACATCATTTATTGGTAACACTTTTATCATGTACTCCCTCCGTCCAAGTTGGATCTTCCCATTACGCGTTACAAGGCTTGACCGACTTTATTTTCAATTCAATTTATTAGATTGTAGGTGTAAAATTAAAAAAAATTATATACTAAAAAACTACATAAAAAATTCTACAAAACAAGAGGTGACACGATTATATTATTTTATAAAATGAGTAGTGAAAATAAGCTAACAAAATGAGTAAAGTTGTTGTAGGGGTCATTTGTGAGTGTGATTGGAGGTTGAGACCTCTTAGCTCTCTGTTGTTTGATGCATTTATGGATAGACATTAGGCTTATATTTTTTCCTTTGTTATTCCTTTTTTGCGTATTTCCATCATCTCCG